TAGTGAGCGATTTGTTTATAAATTAATGAATGAAGAAAAACGAGCTGAAGAAACTAATACTAAAATATGTACACCTGGTAAAAACAGGGAAAGGAAAACAGGGAAACTAGAAGTTGATGACTTTGATATTGGTGTGATTAGGAGAAAAACCCATGAATTTTATTCAGTAAAAAACGAAATTCCTTCTGTAACCAAGCTATTGAATATTTTAAGAGAAGATATCAATTTCCAGGGGAAACTGATATCACGACCACAATTATTTTTATAAAATATAATGTAACTAGTTTGGTATAATAAATCGTATTATCTGTTTGCAAAACAAAATATTTCTTTCTTTTCAACTAATTTATAAATTATATAGTAATGATATTTAAACATTAATTAATAAACTCCGGTCAATATTTAAAATTACAGCTCACGTGATTTCGTATGTTTCAAATACCCTAACCTCCTGATAATTTTTTTAAATAGCAACACCTATCGCTCCAGTAGCGACGCCGTCTACTGAACAGATAAGTTGGTGGCACTATACATTAAGATTAAATCTACAGATATTTGACAAGTCCAAACACTCAAGGTTTGTCCTATTGTCAAACCAAACAAGTCACAGACCTCATTTTGCAGTGCGGCCGTTATCATATTAATTATTATTGCTATTGACTAACACGCTCCAGTGTTTAACCAGACACCCTAAACCAGACATTTAAAAAAATTCAAAATTCTTTTTTCCTATTACAAAGTTAAATTTTATTAACTTGTAAATTTTTGACTTAAATTGCACTACTTAACAATCCGTATGCTGTCATTACGATATTTTATTTATGTTTTTCTAAGAAAACCTACATAATAATATATTTATCTACTCTACATTATTTACGCTCATTTAATAATTACGAGTAAGTTAACTATGACAATTTTTTTTAAATTGAGAAGCGATTAATTTGTAAATATTAAGTTTTACTTACGGTATTACAAGTTAAACTGAAAGTGTTTTTTATAGTACAATACTCATATAAAAACGACGAGTATAATGTAAAGTACATCAGTTTTACAGTGATTTCTTTACAAAGTCACCTATTTTTTTTTTAATAACGGCGTTTAATAACGGCGTGTTCGGCGCTTGGTTGCTCACATCGTTCCTTCTACTCCTCCACGAGGAGCTGGGATTTCTGTTCCTCGATTTCTCGCGAATCAGGACTCCGACCCCACTGATACAGAGCCGCAAGGGCTCTTGCCTCCAGGTCCTCCTCTCCGGCCAGGAGACTCGCCACCTCAAAGGAGAGTACAAGTACCCCCTTATGGCTCTGATAGCCAGCACTCGCAGCTCTGTAAAGCAACGTTGCTGGGCTTCAGGGCCTCCACCCATACTGAGCCCATACAGGGCCATGGACCGCACAACCCCCGAGTAGAGCCTGCAAGAGTCATCGGGTCCTCTCATATTGGGCAGCAGCCCAATGCACGCGCTGCTCCAACCAACTTGGGGATCAGACCTCGGAAATGATGTCCGAACTCCCAGATACCCCCAGATACCTCATCAAGGGCTCGATGGGGATTCGAGTTCCTCCTACTATGAGGCTGGATCCCTCAGGTGGCTTCCCATACTGAAATCTAATAAATAATTTAAAAAAAGAAAATATGATTCAAATGCAAAAAGTATAATAAATATACAGAATGATGTATGTTGGTATATATTTGCTTTATACAAATACTAGTAGTTTCTCGCAGTTTCACCTGCGTTTTTAGTCATAGCCTTGTTCCTCATCCGTGTTATGTAAGTTTCAAAAACAATTAACGAGAAAATTAATTTTCTTCATTTTCGTAACTTTGGGTATACATTACATTTACTTATTTTATTCATTTCATAAATTTAGTTGTGTATCTATAATCTTTTACCATCATTATCTTGTCTAGCTCGCAATCCCAAAGCTTGTGGAAAGACAACTATAACATAGATCAAGCTCACCTTAAGAATAAGACATTAAATAAATTTGCTATTAACTATGGATATATTACACATGGGCTACATTACATTTATTACTAGCGATCAGCCCCGGCTTCGCACGGATGCGTTGTAGATACTACTAATGTGGTGTCAGTTCAATTCGGAGTAATTAATTATACTATTATTATGATACGACTATTAATAACACATCTTTAAATGCAATATTTATAGGCTCGGTCTAATCCTGCCGGCCGCTGCCACCCGGGACGGACTGCTCGACGGTCGTTGGGCCCCCGCATTTTAAACTTCTAATATCTTTTAAAATATTTATTTTAATGATATGCTGGAAAGAGCAATTTTAATCTACATTAAATGTACAACGAATCTAAAGTATTTAATAGGATAAGGAATAATAATGTATTGTTTAAAATAGTTACGTAAAAACCAATTATTATTTTTAAAATATTTAAAAGATAAAAATGGTTACTGTGGGTTATCTTTAGGAGATAGACATATACCATAGCAGACTGTTTTGTAAATCTTTTTAAGATATACAAGACCGTAATACATTATTTTGGTCTATCTCGTAAGGTTTAGCCAGCGCTTGCAATGTAAGCGCACAAAAACATGTTTTTACGACAAAACTTTGAAGTTCTCAGATTTTCTCTTTTGTAATATGCATGTATTACCTATACATATTATGGGACGTCACTTTGTGTGATTCACAAATTGTTGTTCTGAGTCTGGGTGTTCTTTGTGTCCATATCATGTATGTTTGTAAAGATCCCTTTAAAAAAAACCTTCCTCTTGAATCACTCTCTCTATTGGTGAAAATTATATTAAAATCCGTTGCTTAGTTTAAAAATTCTAAGCGTACAACATAAAAAAGACTTTCTTTTTTACTATATAGAGATACATAGCATTCTCTTTAAGACATTAAATAAATTAACCTTTTTTTAAAACTTTGCTATGGAAATCGTTAGTATGTATATTTAGACTTTAGACGTCACCTTTTTTATTTTATATTTCCTTGGCTAGTAATTGATCGCGAGGCTACCATATAGGCAATGGCCGGTGTCGCTTAAATCGTTGCAATGGTTTGATGGGTAGGTCTCGAGGTGGCCCTACATAAATGTAAGCCTCTGAGCTTCCATAGGCCTCGGTAGGGGCCACCAGCTGGCTGGATCTAGCCTTCTCGAGGAACGTGTTCGAATCAACATCGAGCCTTCGATGAGGTCTGGGACTCGTACTCGATAGTGTCATGCGATTTCGTTAACCAATTTCTTGCGTGGCTTTTGCCCAACACCTCCTGTAGGAGTTTCTACGAAGATATCATGCAGTCCATGGTCCTTTACGGGACCCCTATTTGGGTTAAGACCCTGACGGCCCGCAACGCCGTCATATTGCGGCGACCTCAACGAGCGATGGGCGTCAAAGTCATAAGGGGATACCGCATGGTTTCCTTTGAAGCGGCGAGTCTATAAACGGGATATGCGTCATGGGACCTTAGGGCTTTTATCTTTTTGTCTTTATATCAATGACGCAAAGAGCAGAACTTGAGAGTCACTCCTCTAGAAATTGAGCTGCTAAAGTCTGAGCTCCGTCAGGTCCTAATGGTGAAGTCTAAAGAGCGACTTGGGCGACAGAGTGCAGGGCACCTCACAATTTGCTATCAAGTGGAAGGTCGCTATCATGGAAGATTGCCTCGAGATGCAGCATGACAGCCTCTCCTGCCGGCTGACACAGGTACTGACCGGCCATCGCTTTTTCGGAAAATACCTGTGCCATAGTTTAGGTGTAGAAAACCTCACGCTGGAGACCATCGTTCTTGTCATTTAAAGCAATTTTAAAGAGAGTTGGGCTGGAGAAGCAGGCCCGAGAGGTGTATACCAGAGTTCCTTGCAATAGACTTACATGTGACGGAATAAGGTGTGGTTTTAGTTTTCATACTTTGTAAAAGTATAAAAGTATTCTATCAGTCAATCTACTTACACTAACTTACTTCAAACTATACAGCTTTCATAGTACAAGCTCTGCTTAGTTTGAAACTAGATGGCGTTGTGTGTTAAATGTGAAACAATATTAATATTTTACCATTTCACCGTGAGCCCCGGTGATGACACGTTGGGGTTTCCAGACGAAAAAAAAAGTAGTAAGCGCAGTAATTGATAAAAATGATACTTATTCTAACCAAACGAATAAAGAAATTATAATACATACATATGTAGGGTTTTTTTTAAAAACAACTCCTGCATTAAAAATATATCCTGTGTCGTGGGGGACTTTACAAACATACATGAAACGAACACAAAGAACACCCCGACTCAGAACAACAATTTGTAGGTCACACAAAATGTCATCCCATTTGGGGATCGGACCCACAACACTAAGCGTAGTAGTAAGAGGCGTGGCGCCAGCTTAAACCAATTTTCCATTCGTGAAGTCATATACGAGTATCTCTATCAGGTATAAACCTTCTTTTTGTAAAATTTTAAATTTTTTGATACAATTCTGTTCAAAACGCATAATTATTTCATTATTTTTGTATTTTGTTTAAATTACGAAAAACATTTCACATGATCTATTAGAGTGCGTTTGCTTTGCTTTGTGCCTCACAAATATGCTAAGACAGTCATAGTTTAGTTAACTTGTAATTTACCTAACAAAGTATTAAGGAATATTTTGAAAACATAAAATATAACAAAAAGATAAAGTTATAATTTTGAAGGTTTTTGTTTTGGAAGACCTTTCTTAATTTATTTATTATTTATCTATCATTGTTTAGAGGCTAATTTTATCTTGGATCTCAATTGTAAATTAATGAACGAAACGACTTAAAAAAAATTAAAGCTAATGTCATAACTGTCAAAAATGTGTGAAGCAAATAGGATTAGACCTTAATTATTTAGCTTATTTCCTAAATACTTTATTTTGATAGTACATAATTTTGATCGTTTACTTTTTAACAGCTCAACGTCACAGATATTTTTATAATGAGAAAAAACTGTGGTAGTGTTTCATATCCTTAAATTATTTATTCCATCACGAGAAATGAAAAATGAATAACAGCTCTGATTCTATTTATTGGTCGGAGCTTCATTGCTCTAAGGATGCCCTGACCGATACTTATGGATGGTTTATGCAGTTTCTATTGGCTGTATTAGCTTTCACATGCTTAATAGGTGAGATTTTATCAATTATTGCAAGCGGGAGTTCATGGTAGAACGATAATAATGTTCAGTATTGCGTAGTTTTCTGCCGGATCTTACTCAATTAGCCACTCAGACACTATTGCAGCTGAAGTATTTCATCATCTAAAGCTGTACCCGTCAACCTCACTGTGACAAATTAAATTTTGAAAAAGTCAAATATTAAACCATACTTCCATGGCATTTTGTTCTTGAAATATTTATTAGTGTGTAGTTCAGATTTTTAAAATTTATTTTAAATTATTTTAATTTAAAAATTATCTAAGAATATTATAATGTTACTTAATAGAATTATGTACTGCTTGCAATCTGTTCCACACACACAGATATATTCGCAAAGAGGGAATATGTGTTTTTAATGCATACCATTTTCTCATTGCCGCTGAGTCTACACTTTAAAAAATGTGTCACATTATGATGCATATAATTAAATGATTTATCTTGAAAAGACTCATTAATCTCATTTAATGATAGTCAATTTATTAAATAATACATTTTTTTTTTTTAAATAGGCAAACGATTCTGCGAACCCCGTTATGCTAGAAGACCATGGCTAATTTGGTTTTATGACACGTCAAAACAAGGCCTTGGGGCATTGATAATACATGCGGCCAATGTGTGGCTCTCACCGCATTTAACAGGAAACCCCTGTACTTGGTAAGAACTTTTAGTATATTTATTTATTGTTGGCACACCAACAAATAAGATATAAGAAACATGCCAACATACAGGATGGTACAGTTCTTGATGTTGTTGATATGTAGACCTGCAAAAGGAATATATTTATAGCTCTATATCTATATCTTTTGTGGTTGTAAAAATACTATTAGTATACTATTTAGTAAAGCATTACTAAGACTACCAGATTACCGAATCAATTTACGAATACAATACAATATAATCTCGTTACAGTTAAGGTTTGACATTTAATACTTTATTATAAAAATACCTTATGACAGTTGTGAGTTTCAGAGTTGATCAGAACTGAATTGTGAGTTAGATCAATATAAGAAAACGAACAGTAGGAAAATATTACATAAATATTTAAACAACTTCACTTGATAAAATGTGTTTAGTAAATAAAGTAGTATCTTGTCTAGTGATAGGATGATACTCTGTTTATTTTTAAGTACTCTTGCACTGAGTTTCTTTAAAGTTATTATCTTGACTTAGACTCATAAACTGGTTTTTATATTTCCTTATATATGTTTTTGTTTCATTATTTAAATAAATTTATTTAAATTATTGTTTTATTTCAAATATTTAAATAATAATTATTTAAATTAAGAATTTAAATATTGTTATATAATATGTTATAATATTATTACATTATATTATATACTTAATATTATATTTCGTCATGATCATCAACATCCTTTAAGTCTAAACAATTAAGTATAGTATAAAATGTTATGTATGAAAATTTCATTACTAGGATTTGGAGATACAGTAAAATAATATATCAACAATTTTGATAAAATTATTAAAAAATAATTAAAGCCTGTTTAAAGCAGACACTGAACACTGAATGGATTTGAATATAATTTTCAACACAGCATCACATCAATGCGATCCTTGTAGCTCTACTTATCTAGTTTAATTAGTAGTTTCCAAGTTGCACTCAAACTGTAGGTCTTATTCCTGCTAATATGTGTTCTCACATACTAGCAGGAATACATACACATATCAGCATATTAGTCATTGAGCCCTTATCGGTGTGTGCCGTGGCACCATTCTGCGGAAAATGGGTTCTTTTATTGTAATCGACACGACAATACGGCTCCGGTATAAAAAGTGTCAAGCATCTCGCGATATCATTGGGCGTTAACACTTTCACTTCTACCGTAAAAATAATAATTAGCCATTGGCCAATATATTTATTTTCACACCCCCTTGATGCTGCAATCTTTCAGATAGACTCACGCGGATTTTGTAGTAGTAGTAACAGACGTAGAAGGTCCGGGCACATTAAATTTCCGACTGATATAGTTTTTCAAAACTTCTGTACCCACGCCCATATCAATTGGTTTGACGGGCCATCTTTTAATCGTTGCATATCAAAGTGAGAAAAAACTGACACCTCGCCACATTGATTGAATTATTGTTTGCGAAATATGCCTCAACCGCAAGAGCGCGGGGTCCTCCCGTTGACTCATGACTCATAACTAAACAACCCGCAATATTGACGTGACGAGGCAAGGCGACAGCGGGGAAGCGACCTATCAGGTCGCTTCCCCGCTGTCGCCTTGCCTTTCGCCGCTAGCTCAATTTAAAGCATTAAATACCCTGTACATTTTTCTAGCTTCAAAAATCAAAGTATTTTAGTGTGGATCATAGGTACATAAGAAATGTTAAGAAGTATAGTAGTAGTAGTAAGTAAATAAAGTAAGGTTAAGAAATAAGATTGAGTTCTACCATCATTCATGGCAAACCGCAACCAGTAAAAAGTAGTGTCATCTGACTGTCCATAGTGTTTGCAATTCAAAATATGGCAAATTCTGCTGTACATAGTTTAAAAAGTTTTGCAAAAAAAAATTTAAGCATTTATTTATTTCTAAGATAAAATTATTTTCAACAGGTATATAGTAAATTTCATGCTGGACTCAACACTTGGTCTATTAATAATATGGGCCGGCATTCGACTTGCTCAATATTACGCAAGAGTTTATGATATTCCACTTATAAATTTTGGAGAATATGGTAACTATTTTCATTATATATTGCTTTTGTATATATATATATATATATAGGTATACACGGTGATTTTGAAAGCGTTTTGGAAAAGAAAATTTTGAGTTATTTTTCAGTAACAGAAGCTATATATAACGTTAATTTAATAAAATATATATTTTTTTAATCATCAAAGTCGATATTCATATCGATTACAGAGAAAAGGTGAGAACCAGTAGTAGGGCTTTTCAATCGCAAGTAGGTAAATACTACGAATAGAAATACTATACTCACGCGCAAGGTCAAGAACGTTTAAATTATTATTCGCCGGAGTGTAGTGCGTGCATACCTGGACAATGAGTTTAGTGATCGGTGGATAGGTCGAGGAGGGCCAGTGCCTTGGCCACCTAGAAGCCCGGACTTAACGCCCCTGGATTTTTTCTTATGGTCGGAAATAAAAATACTTGTTTATACACGGGAATATGAAAGCCGTGATAATTTACGCATTGCGATAGTGGACGCTTTTGATAAAGTGATAAGTGATAGAGACACATTAAGAAAATTAAAAAACAATTGCATTAAACGTGGACGTTTGTGTATTGAATGCAGCGGACTCCATTTTGAGTAGTTGCTTCGATACAGAGAAGTGTAAATAGTGTAAATAGGTATGTAAGTTAATTATTCTGAAGATAGCTCCGATTTTTTAAATACGCTTGAAATATTTATACCTACAGTCCGTTGATAAATTGATTTGTTGTGAAAAGAACAACCGTGGTTAATAATCGAAAAGAAGTTTAAATAAAATAGGTATTTCCGACGGTCCTAAGCCCGTGTAAAGTATGAAGGACAAATTGGAGTCTATCTACGTAAGTACTCCCTAGCTCACGCCTATAAGTATACTTTTATCAGCTGCTGTTAGCGTCAGCGGTGCGCAGCGGCCGCCGAAACGCCCACGGACGTGTTTCATTCATACTTATAACATAATGAATGAATGATCAGTCCATTACTACATTCCAAGTCGATCGAGTAGAAATGAATATTAAAACTGAAACTTTTTTTTAGACAACATTACAATTGATTTAATCATTTTAATTGGTACTATAGATGATTCCAAATTAAAATGTTTCGTTTCCAAAACGCCTAAAAAATCACCGTGTATATATACACGGTGATTTTGAAAGCGTTTTGGAAAAGAAAATTTTGAATTATTTATCAATAACAGAAGCTATATATAACGTTAATTTAATAAAATATTTATATTTTTTTTCATCAAAGTCGATATTCATATCGTTTACAGAGAAAAAGTAAGAACCTGTAGTAGGGGTATTCAATCACACGTAGTTAAATACTACAAATAGAAATACTATGAGTTTTAATATCGTATTCGCCAATGAAAACAAAGCTACCGAGTTGCGCCGGAGTCGTCCAACCAATGACGGCACTGCCCGTAGGCGCATGCGCGGTACTCATCTGTCATCGCGAGGCGTCTTTCCTTTTCAGTCGGTCAGTAATACCATAACATCGTGACGGCACGCTACATTGATTAGCGCTAAAATGAGTCGACAGTACGAATTTGCAAACGTGGAATACTTGGCAATGGTACAGCTGTACGCTACTGCCAACTACAACTTGGAAGAGGCTCGGCGTTTGTATTCCCAGCCGGAGCATTTAAATGCACTACGGCTACGTGGAATTGAAAGCCCTCAAATTCCCTCCACACCTACCATCTTGGCTGCAACCCAACGTCTTCTCGACCACGGACAATTTCGTGCGCCTACTCATGCGCAAGGTCAAGGACGTTTTAATTATTATTCGCACGAGTTTGAAGAAGATGTTTATGAGTACTTCGAGCGCGATCCCCGGCGGAGCACAAGAATGGCAGCACGAGAATTCGATGTTAGCCAAAACTTCGTATGGAAGATACTACGTACACAAGGATTACATCCGTATCATTTTCGCAAGGCTCACGTAATAAACAACACTGACGCACCGGCAAGAATCGCCTTTTGCCAGTGGTTGTTAAATAATACAAACGCCAACATACTCTGGACGGACGAGTCACTGTTTACTCGAGTGGGACTATACAATGTGCACAATGAGCATTACTGGGCTCTAATTAACCCCCACTTGATACGAGAAAACCATCACCAGGTTCGTTTCAGTGTGAACGTTTGGGCCGGTATTATTAACGACCAATTAATAGGGCCTATTTTTATTGAAGGTCATCTAACCGGCAACTCGTACTTAGAGATGTTAAGGACAGTAATATCTGAGTTAGTAGACGATGTGCCGTTAGCTTACTCGAGAGGTATGTACTACCAACACGACGGCTGTCCCGCTCATTACGCGAGTGTAGTGCGTGCATACCTGGACAATGAGTTTAGTGATCGGTGGATAGGTCGAGGAGGGCCTGTGCCTTGGCCAGCTAGAAGCCCGGACTTAACGCCCCTGGATTTTTTCCTATGGTCGGAAATAAAAAGACTTGTTTATACACGGGAATATGAAAGCCGTGATGATTTACGCATTGCGATAGTGGACGCTTTTGATAAAGTGAAAAGTGATAGGGACACGTTAAGAAAATTAAAAAACAATTGCATTAAACGTGGACGTTTGTGTATTGAACGCAGCGGACTCCATTTTGAGCAGTTGCTTCGATACAGAGAAGTGTAAATAAACTGTAAATAGGTATGTAAGTTAATTATTCTGTAGATAGCTCCGATTTTTTAAATACGCCTGAAATATTTATACCTACAGTCCGTTGATAAATTGATTTGTTGTGAAAAGAACAATCGTGGTTAATAATCGAAAAGAAGTTTAAATAAAATAGGTATTTCCGACGGTCCTAAGCCCGTGTAAAGTATGAAGGACAAATTGGAGTCTATCTACGTAAGTACTCGCTAGCTCGCGCCTATAGGTATACTTTTATCAGCTGCTGTTAGCGTCAGCGGTGCGCATCGGCCGCCGAAACGCCCACGGACGTGTTTCATTCATATAAGATAATGAATGAATGATCAGTCCATTACTAGTTTCCAAGTCGATCGAGTAAAAATGAATATTAAAACTGAAACTTTTTTTTAGACAACATTACAATTGATTTAATCATTTTTATTGGTACTATAGATGATTCCAAATTCAAATATTTCGTTTCCAAAACGCTTTCAAAATCACCGTGTATAGTGTATATATAGGTACTCCTGAGCAAGCAATGTCATGTGCTTGCTTTCGAATTCCATTGTGTGCACACAGTAGGAAAAACGTTATTATAAAATCTTCTTTTATTAATACTTAACAAATAAGTTCAATATCATTTTAAATACTATGTATCGTTTAGTTTGTTACGCATTTACGTTATCATTGCTGAATCAGTAATCTGAAAACTCAATTATGTATAAAACACTCTCTTTGTATAATTACATTCCTAACTCTAGTTATGCCCCTAGGTAAGCCGCCAATGTTCGCAGCCTGGATATGCCAGTGTATATTATACGCGGCGTTGGCGACATTCGCCAAGTCCATTTTAGCGCTAGTGCTGCGACTTCCGCCTGTGGTAGCTGTACTTTCCAAGCTCCGGCTGTCGCCGGTGTCGAATGCGAGACTCGAACTCGCGGTTGTTATGCTCATTATACCTTTCTTTGTTAATGTAAGTATATCAATTACTATTTGATGCGTTAGATCTTTCTCCTCGCTTTCCTGTAATCTGTGAAAGTGATTTCGAAAAAGGAGACGGAAGTATGGAGTAGGAGTATATATGACAGGAAGCCGGGAAAGCCCCTGGTATATGATTTGACTTGAGAAGGATGTGAATAAGTGACAGAATGGTGGACCGTACTCGTTATTTTAGAAATTTACGTTTTTGGGGATTGTTAGTAATGCATGTTTTTCATGTCTTGTCTTCAAAATGACAATTAGTATATTGTTACTTAATGAAGCTTTAAGTAAGCGTTACGTCATCGAACCAATAAATGACATTGATAATACTTTATTGCTGTATAAACAATTATCTAAGATGTAAATACGTCGTTTACTTAAACTTGTTACTGCTGGTAGCCCATTACAAATATATAAAGACACAAACTGTAAAAATAATTGATTTTCGATTCGATCAGGGTGTAGGTGAGACAATTGATTCTTTATTAAATCGAGCGTTGCATTACCAACACCTTCACTTTTAATGATTAGATGATAATTAAGGCCTGGCAACGCGTTTGTGACTCCTGAGTTGCAGACGTTCATGGGCGGCGACCCGTCTGCTCGTCAGCCCCCTCTAACATAAAAAAAAATTGACTGTCACTTTTGTAGTTAGGTATGATTATGTATGGTTTAATTTAGTTCAAATAATCATTACTGTAGGTGATTGAACCAGTAGAATAATCACTTGATGTCCTGGTGACCTTAACCTCTCTGATTCCGAGCCATATCTTATTTTACTGGACGTGACGAAATCGCAGTTTAATGTGGGCGTTGCGTCAGATTCGAACTGATTAAAACGGTTCTCCTCCCAACGAGTGCCCCCAGAAATACATGCACCATTTTTCAATCATATGCATCCTGCACGAATGTTATATTGCTAAGTAAAAACTAGAAATCCGATTATTAATTATTTAATATAGCTACACTATCTTAAATAGTCATCGAGTCGTTACACCCTGCAGAATAACTTCTTCAGTACTTTACAACAATATGATTAAGGCGAACATTCACTTCTGTTAGGTACATTTGTTTATGACTAGTATTTTGTATATCATAATGTAATAATATTGTTTTTGTGGTACATCACTATTTTTGACAGTTTGTCGCCAAATAATAATACAAATCTGGACAAGTGTGATTGGTATAAACCTACATGTGATTTAAGCCGAGAATAAACGCAGATTGATAGCCAAAAGAGAGTCAGTAGTCATATGTGACGTACATAGGCACAAGACTAAGGATTCATATAGATTTCATTGTGAAAAAATAGGTTTAAATTATTTATAGCAATCGTCTAACCCTTGTTTATTAGTCAACCTATGTTTCTTAAATGTGTTGGTAACGCATACACAAATAAATTACCACAACACAAAACTATAATGGGCCGCATTTAGACCAGAAGGCATATTCTCGTAATAAAAGTTCGGTCTCAATTCGGTTCCGATCAACTTTCGATCTCGCAACTGTCATAAAAGGTATTTTCATAGTAAATTATTAAACATCTAACGTTGACGGTAATGTTATTATATCGCATTGTAACCGAAAATTGAATCGGTAATCTGCTAGTCTTAGTAATACTTTATATATAGTATAGGTATTTTTGTAGGAAAATACCTTTTATGACAGTTGTGAGATCAAAAGTTGATCGGAACTGAATTGTGACCAAAATTTTATTACGAGAATTGGCCTTCTGGTTTCATCTTGTATTCAATGTTACAAATGACTTAGATAACAAACTAGCACTCGTTAAAGTATTATCGCACATGCCATTTGGTTAATTATGTCTAAGTAGTATAATAATGTATGTCGGGTATGATGAGTTACCTAGTTAACTGTTTAGAGATGAACTTAATTAACAAATTTCTAAAACAGGAGTGTGTAAAAAATAAGTCGGACTCAGTACTTACTTTTTAACGTAGGTAATGAATTTATGTGTCCACGTTACGGAATCTTTCATCGTAGTTTCGGACAGGACGTCATTAATATCTTTTAATCATGTTAACTATCTATCATAACATGCTACTTAAGACCTTTATTAAAAATTCCTATCCCGGGCGCAAAATAATAAGTTGGTGATCGCAAAAAAAGAAGATGTTTTATGTGATATGACAACAAATTAATGATTTTCGATTTACTTGTGCTTAAATATTAAATTTTAGTGTTAATCGATGTAAACTACCTCTGAAAAAAATATGATAAAACTAGCGAAAATCTAAGAAAATCCAAGCAATTCTCCAAACTCTCGATGCGTGAGTTAGACTCGCATTTGTTTGGCTTAATCTAACATGACTTGTCTACCCTATTCGATAATAGGTCATGAGCACGATTGATAATTTAATACTAATAAAAAAACTGTATGTTTAGGAACTTGAATATTGCTCTTTTCTGATATACTGAAAGATTTCGAGAAATTTCTCGAAAGCTCGAATTTTTTGACTTGAGCTCATAGACGACCGTGTTGTCGTGCGCATTTAGAAAATGGCTCCACACGCTTATCTATCTTCGACGAACTCGGCGACGGTAGTGCATTCTCAGTGCTTGCATACATGAGTGCCTTTTTGTATTGTTCTGGTCGTTTCTACTAGAAACCAATAATGTTTTTATAAAAATAACAAATGCACATCCCTGTTTTGTTGGTGTTAGAGATAAAATATACGTCTCTAATAGGTCATTATCATGATATATGTAGCAAAACAAAGTTTGCTCAAGCCACGTTTGGATTCCATCTGTACTTACTTTCTTATTACTAAGCAGTTTTCACGTCTAAGTTTTCACGAACCAGCCAGTTGCTACTAAATAAGTGCACCACCTGCGTCATGACTTTACATCCGTTGAGATAGTCGATTTATATAAAGGCGTCCGTCGTTATTGAGTGTTGGTAGAGACAGTAAATCAATATATCTATCAACTCTGCAGTTTTTGTACTCAACTAAGAATTAAACTTAGAGTAAATTTAAAATGGAGTAAAGTTTAATTTCACTCTCAAAATGAAGCACATATTATAATGTATTTAACTTGTTCAGGTAATATTTTAAAATTGAAATAATAAACCAGAAGAACAGTTGAATAAACACATTGCTACAAGTATGTATATATATAATGTATATAGTATGTAGTATAGATAAAGTAAATGTACATATGCAAATTTCTCTTTTAAACGTTCTTAAACAAGTGTTACGTGTGTCTTGTATTTAAGACTCGACCTGCAGTAATATATGAAAAGGTATATAAATAAAATTAAATGCACACACTTATCGCAAAAAATCATGGCTTTCGTATAGGTATATAGGTGTATATATGCATTGCTATAACTATATACTTATATGACTCAAAAATTTAAGCAATGCAGAAGTAAAATATTCATAACTGGTAATTGGAGCTGTAAGTCTATTTTCGCGTGCAAATGTAAATTGTAATTTTAAACTTATTATAAAACTACCTACCTATATTTTTTTTATTTGCAATAAATGAAATCGACGGTTTTTTATACTTATAGTTTCTTTTTCTAAGTCGATCTACACGGAGTTCGTTGAAATATAATTAAAAAAAAACATTTGCATGTTCTCTATAAAGAGTAGCTACCTAGATTTTTGGTAAAAGATTGTGAAAATATATTAGCCTGAATCAGTTTTTTTTTTTGCCCTTCGGGCAAGATTGTTTTCCAAATCCACTTTTATGACAATTATACAGTTTAGTTGTATTGGTATAATAGATGTATATTTATTAATACTTATAATTAACATAAAAAAACTTAACATATTAGCAATAATAAGAAAAATATTTCGGACATCCAACACGCAACGCCATCTAGTTTTAAATTGAGTAGAGCTTGTACTGCTGAGGTTGAAAGCTAGACTGACTGATAAATACTTATATACTTTTCTTTTATAAATACAAATATAAAACAATAACTACCAATACCAATAAATCCTACCAAGTAATTAAAACTATTTTTTTAATAAGCCTTTTATTTATTATTTACAGATATTAATATTTTGGGTGACCGACAACTTTCTCATGTATCATCCAAGAGGAGTTAGTTCAAAAATTAAAACAAGGGTAAGTTATTTACGAAAAATTTTCATTTACCAATTTTTTTTTGTAACAAGAAAATCGAAAGCAAATATAAGAATTATTAATAAATTTAAATTTATGAAAATAGTACCTAGTCAACAAAAACAGCACATGCTATTCTTCAAATTGGGGACATAAATATTAAACTGTCATTGAAACTTATAATTACAACATATGTCGTTTCACTTATAAAATATTCAATTGAAAATACCACTTTAATTACAGTGATATTTAAGTTAAACTACTATTGATATAATCTGTTATTCAGTATGTTCGACTTGTAAATATATTTCATACAATATTTACTTAGAAGTCTATAAAATAGTAATGCATAATACTAGTCATGCAAAGACACAAGACAGAACACAAGAAAGAAGTTTTATAGCCGCTGTCTTTGCATGACTAATCGAGAAACAGTTTCTTAGTTATAAGCAAACTTCTAAAGATACGTTATAGTTCTGTCAAGGCTACTTCTAAGTAGAACTAAACGTATAGCACACTTATCAGTAACATATAATTAAATATTATCGTCATGATCGTAGAATAATGTCTGTTTTGAAAAAACTACGAAATTCAGTTTTATCATATTTGGTTACTACATTCAGGAAAAATTGTCAATTTTATATTTTAAATTATTCAGTCGGTAAACAGACGGATTTCATAGGCGCTCAAAGTGAAGCATGTGATTTTTCTACAAATTTAGTAGTTGTTATTTTTATTGCATATTAAAACAAGCCTTATTTTTCACTTGTATGCCAGTTTTCATAATCACGGATTTAGATTTAAAAAGTTATGTTAAATAAAACTAACATAATTATTTGAAATGGCTGCCCTGTAAAGTTCAATAAATGTCAGATCCGATACTATTCTACGAATATGACGATATTTACTAACTGTCTGACCCGCGTAATCACGATGTTCATATTTAAACCTCATGTATGATTTTTCAGGTAAGATACCAGTCCATAAAAAAAGAAAAATCAGGGTCAGAAGAAGACGAGCATTCTGCAGATGAACGACTATTGGGCGCCAGCGTATGACCATACAGGAAGCCCAGTGTGTTCCGGGCTTAGTTAGTAACGTTTTAAATTAGTCACCAAACATGGACATGCTACACAGTTGTATTATAAAATACAGTCCTATTGACAGTGAGAACTTTAGTGCTAAGGCTTAAAAAAACAGTTATAGGTGATTTTTGTCCAATCATGAACTCAGTTATCAAAATTGTTAGGCTCTCCAGGTCTCAGGAATTTTACGTTATGAATGCTCTTCGGCCTGTATTGTTCATGCATTTGAATATCAACTGAGCCCATTTTCAGGAGTACTAACTAATTCTGAATGTAATTTTTGACTATCCGGCTAATTATTATCTAGTCGCTTATTAGTCAGGAAAAATCTATATGCAAATCGAGTAAGGAATTATTTCGAATCGTATTCTATAACGATTCGAAATTATTCCAATAATTCTATTGGAATTTAAATTTTGTCGTTACACCAACATCACTCGAATTCTAAGACATAACAAAAATATTACTTATATGTATGTATATATTCAAAATTTAAACTTGTACACGCATTTGGCAAGGTATGTAGTTTAACATTATGTTAAAATGTACACATAAAAGTATCTAATTAAACATTTCAAAATATACTATAATACTTCCTTTAGATCTAATGAAACACAATAATATTAATTTTTATAAAGGCTTATATTAAAATATAGTTAGAAATGTAAAAAAAAGATTTATATTGGTATTTTTGATTTTTTATTGGGGCAATACTTAAAAACCATATTGCCATTATTGTAAATACAATGGTTTTTGTAGTACTAAAATGAGGTATTTGTACTCGCATCGACTGACTGATAAAGTTGGATTTCATTAGATTCGGTCCCAAAAGCGCGTATGGAATTGAAAGGTATCGCTTTATCGAACGCCGTTCTATAAATTATGTACAAATATGCCATTTTGCTTCAGTTAAAAGTATAATGATAATGAAAAAGATATTTTTATACATTTTACTTTTATTAATGTAATAATTTTAATGTTCCTACACTGTAAAGTACTTAGATCCTCATAGTAGTGCCATGTATTTTGAATTGTTTTTAACGAAAATATGTACACTGACATCGAATAAAGACTGAAGAAGTCGCAAAGAATATCTGCCTATGAAATTCTTTCATGTTGAGAACACTCGTTAGAGTAGCAAGTTACGCTCATGTTTATGAATAACATCACACAAGTATTACTGAAAACAGTCTACGCTTTGTAGCTGTGTTTGAATAATTTTAAAAAAGTGTGTGTCAGCTCCAACGCACGACTGGAGTTTACTCGTTAAGAAAGATTCGGCTGCACACAGGTATACAAGTTATACACCCGTGTATGTGAAAGATGCGCACGATAGTTTGCGCACAAAAAGCGTAACGAGGTCATTCGATCACTCAATTTTACTCTTCATATTTTTTTCATACCGGGCGCCTTATATGAAAATCAGTACTTAAAGAGTAAACTCCAAAAATACACCATTTCTCTATCGGGTACGTACACGTGATGTTTACTTATGTTGTTAGGAATAAAATAATGCTCTAAAACAGAATTTTGTTAGGTATATGACTTTGAAAACCAGCAAGAGTAATAGTTGTCGTTTCGGTATTTGTGTCGCTGCACCATCCATCCATCTACGTTCGTTAGCAACCGAGGACCTCCGAGAATCTTCTATTTTTAACAACAAAAGTCAACAACACAGTTGGTAATTTTTCTTTACCATTGAATCAGTGACGACTCGTTAACAAACTTGTTCGTTTAAAAAAAAACATTTTACTGGTTCCATAGCTGATACGAGCCCACTAGTCGATCATTTCAACCAACTTGGCTGTACAAATACGTACTGTAGGAATACGAGAAATCCAAAACAGATGTTCACGTTAAGAGCTTGCTAGGATTTTCGCCTTATTTAAGTTTTATTTCTAAGGCTTTTAAAAAAAAATAAGACAATATAAATCGATGCTTTATAAATTTCCAAGATGCAAGACGAAAGGCCCTTTTTCTGACCAGTGTCAATTCCTAGGTTATGAAATTGCGTATGTTGCTATTAGCGGATAATGGTTCAACGTAGCTACTACCGGACGGCCAGACGTCTGTGAGCAATTCCGTGATAAAAGCCGTCGAAGAATCGGAAAGTGATTTGTTTCCGTTGTTACACTTCTCTTAAAAACTGCCGCTGATTAATTTTTCTCTGTACTGGGGGAAGTTTACCAATCTATGGACAAATATTAAGTCAGAATGTACCTTTGTATCACAAACACGACTCTTTATATTTTGGCAAAGACATTTTGTTTATAAATAGAAATAATTCTATTGTTATAGATGTGTTTTTTTTTGAAGTCTGTTATGCGAAGGCGCCAAATCCTTCTTTTATGTTAAAAAGTAAGTTATCTAAAATTACATTCCTTGTATACCAGAAATTATCTATAACCGTGATGGTTAGATTTGACCGCTGTAATTATAAGTGTTAAAATTCAATGATAATATGTTTAAAACGACACGGTTCACTAACAACATTCAGTTACGATAAAAGGCGCGAAACGTTATGACCTGTGAATTGTTACAAGTGTACTTATTTATTGCAATTGATGCATGCGGATGAATTTTCTTTTTGCTCTGCCCTAAAAAAAGTAGCTTTTCGGATTTTCTTACCTCACTTCACCTCGCTTCACCTAGAAGCCACTATAAATGAACAATCCGCATTGGGCAATTGCAATGATTAAATACAAAAAAATTGATCTGATTCAACAAAAATAGATATGTTTAAATGATATTAAGTTCCCCATATTGTGTACTCTTTGATATATAAATATCATCTATGATTGTGATGTATGTAAATATTGAAGTTAAGGACAAGTTTTACAAAAACTTTAATGTATATATTGATCCATGATATACACATTTGTGCATCTGTTCATTGTTTGTGCGAATATAATTCACATTACGTGTTTATTAGCCTTTTATTTTACATACAAGTCCATATGTAACTTCAGGAGTTACTAGAACGAAATTATAATATTCGACTGCAGAAGAGAGACTGCTTTCTATTAAATAGAGTCACGGCGACGTTTAAATTTATATATATATATATATATATATTATTTAAGAGTTTGAACTCAGAGGGAGATAAATGCCCTTTTAAGGACAATCATAAAAATGCATCTACTTTCTCATGTATTGATATCGGATGATATTCCAACTAGTCTCTTGATTAAAATCACTTATAAATTTCTCAAATTATTTTGGTGAATTGATGGAAAGAATGGATACTACATCTAATAATTAATACTAACAAATGCCATAGATATCCTTTTAATGTTACCTAAATAACGGAAGCCAATTCCTTGACAGAGGATATAGCTATACCTACCGATATATTAAAATCCGTCTATAAATTTATAAAATAGCAAGAATCAAGAAAACAATATAATGACTTCGAATAAAATATAATGGATTTAGTTTTGTGTAGGGAATTCCTATATTTTCATGTGATGTAGGTATTGCATAAATCCAGGGTCATGACATATATGTTTTTTTCAATTTGATTTAGACAGAAATTTTAAATTTACTTCAAAGTTCAGTGGCAAAACTTCGGTTTGGATAATAACTACTATATGGTAAACTTTGGTATCAGCATCTACAACATTTATAAACTCAAGAATATGATGAGGTAGAGAATGGATTACATTTCTGTCTGTAAGTAATATTTCTTTTATTTCTAGTTATTCTAATCTAGAAGTAACTAGTAGGAATATCTCATTGATTTCATCCCTTTACATTCTTTTCTTTTTCGTAATCTAACAAACAACTGTAACTAGAAGCGGTTACCATGACTATTTTCTCGAATTCCACAAACAAATCCTCATGTAATATCAGTAAGTGATTGCCCCAATTTGCAGAGGTTTGCGGCGAACTCGAGCTTCGAACAAAAGCTTTGCTGAAACTGCTTTTTTCGATACTTAAACACCCAATGGAGGAGAGTGAAATACAAAAACTATTAAAGACTAAGAATGGTTGCCGTGTGCCGAAAATGAAGCCTATCCCTGATGTCCGTGAATTGGATCAGTTACCTTTTAAGCCTTTGCCTCCATACAATAGAATTAGGGTATGTAAAATACTGTCTATAATATAAGGTATAGAATTTTAAGCGTAAACTTCATTTGTTCGTAAGTTAAAATCAGGCTAAAGGCGGCTGTTAACGAGATTAGGTCAGGTATTGTTACACTGCAGATTATGGTTTCTGACCGAAAAAATCAATAAAATTTTTAATGGAAGAGTGGAACTCCCGTGCGACAATTTTGATTTAAACGTAAGATATTTGACATTAAAGTATTTCTATGGAAAATATAAAAATATTTCGACTGAAAAATTACACTTTTTACTGCTTAGGACATGTAATATAAATATTAACAAACATGATTGTTTGCAACAAAATAATCTCAATATTCTATGCTTCTTGAGTTCCACTCTTACACTGAAAACGATGTCGTTTATCGATAGATGTAAACAAAATAATACGTCCGTTTTTTCGGTCTGGTATCTTAGGGAGTCTTTCCAGTCTTTTCCACGCCATGTTTATTGGGTTTCAATGTATATAAGGTTTCCTAACTACTTATTACCTAAGTGCTGAATGATAAGTATCTATGTAATACGTAGAATGAGGAGAGTGGCGGTTGGATTGCTAGTGTACATAACATATTTGGTTGTGGTTTTATCGAGTAAATAATTAGTTTAATGTTATCGCACAACCTTTAGATAATCCACAAATATCTCCGTGATGTAATGAATACTATAAAAATAATACATATTTTCGTTCTGGACTAAACTATGACGGATAACACACTCTTCAAACGGGAGGCAACAAACTCTTCAAAGGCAATTTGTACTGCCTCTCGGGAATTGATTTTTTTACCCACTAAAAAGTTGTCTAAATTTTGGAAAAAGTAATGGTCGGTAGGTCTGGTGAGTACCAAGCAACCAGCTTTGGTCAATCGGTCGTCCCCACTGCTCCTTCACGACAACGCGCGACTCCATACTGCGCAACAGACAGTCTCCAAGCTGCAAGAGCTGGGGTTGGAAGCTCTCCCTCATCCGCTATACTCAACAAACCTCCCGTCCAGCTGATTTTTACAAGAAGGGCATCAATAAACTGCCAATGCGTTGGCAAAGACGCGTCGATTGCATGGGTGATTACTTCGAATAACAGAAATAAAAAAGTTTGAAAAAATAAGTACTTTCACTTATTGCATACAAAACGGCAATTTCATAGGTAAAGACCTTGACCCTATAGAACCCTTCTCGTTCCAGAATAACCTTTTTAAAACTTAAGTATTTTCAACGTTAATCTGATTGTAGCTAATTTTATTTTTGCAGACTAGACGAGTCAAGTTTCGTGAAATACGTGAGGAAGAAGCAGTAAGCAAAAAAGAAGAGCTAACCCAACCGTCCTTGGAGCGATGTGTACATGGTCGTTTAAACTTATCACAGTCACAACATATTCAAGACTTACGACAATGTGCTAATAACATTAAGGTACCATCTATGTTGAAGCAATCGGAGCGAAAAATTTACGAACTTATCCCTGCTCATCTTCTCAACGCGTTCCCTTGTGTCATTAAAGATTTAATGGAAGAGTGTAAGGAGGAATGGAACACGAACTTGCATAATCTAGCTGTCAAGACTGTGATTAGAGATATACCAGGTTTGTCTAGGGTTAGGTACCAAGAGCCATATTTCAAATATAGAGGGGTCACTGAAAATTATAATCAATTTATTAAATTTCGTAAAAAACTTCAAGAAGGGTCTTTCTTATTACATCCTTTTATAAGACTCATTCTTGAAACATCCGTCAGAATGTTTCCGATACATGTAATCGATTTAGCTAAGTTTAGAGCCATGGGGCCTTTAAATTTAAATGATTTTAAAGCTAAGGCTTTAGATAATATTAAGCGTGCCGATTATGTAGTATCCAGCACATGGTACGCCGTTCTTATAAAGTGGCTGAAAAATCCGCGATGTTTAAAAGGCATGAGCTCTGGCACGATACCCAAATTTATAATTTGTGCCTCTAGAATAATATCGATGCAAATTCAGGAATTAATGCGCAGATCTATTTACAATATTATAGAAGTTCTTAAAGACTTTGAGTGTGTCCCTATTCTGAATTTTGATTTAAGTTTCGAAGACGGGGAATTTCGTTATAATCCATCTCTTGAAACAGTTTATGAAGTATTCCATGATATTGCACAAGCGGTTTCGAAGATTGCTCAAAGACTTATGCCTTTAGAACAATATCTTAACTTGCATTATAATTATGACGCATTACCTGTCGACTACAACGCTTGGTTAAATAAGGATGGTCATGAGAAATTACAAAATCAACTAAATATAGTGTATGACCCATTACGTCATTATTTAGTGACCCTGCGAAAACAGTTCAGTATGCTGTCTGGAGATTCTGCAATGGCAGAGTTTTATGAATTCATTGAAAGTAATAAAGAATTTGAAGAATCCCGGGACAAAATTCAGTATTACCAAAAAATTTATTCGGAGGTAAGTGGTACTTTTGAGAATAAATACTTCAATTGTGCAGTTGTTTGCCAGTTGAAAATGGTTGATGGCTTGAAATACAAAGCTAGTGAGTTCATAACTGGAATAACAGTAGGCATAGTGAAATCACACATGCTTGAAAATAACAGTATTTGTACTGAGTTTGAACATATTGCGGCGAGAGCTCTTAAACAACCACAAAATGCAGAAGAATTATTAGAACAAGGAGTTTTTATTCTGCATGCGAAAAATGTTCTATTAGAAAATTTAACGAAAAGAATTTCAGTACAACTTTATATAATAATTAACCTTATTCAAGTCACTTCGCTTACAGTGGAGCATTTAGCATTAAATTCAAAAACATTTAACTGGCTGAGTAACATTCAACCAATATTTCAAAAAAACGCTGCTTCATATGAAACATTTAAAGGAGATATGGAAGACAATCTCCAAGCACAGATTACACGTCTCAACAATGAAGTAGCAGAAATACAACCTTACTTAGAAATGTTGGATAATATGGATGACATTGATAATACGCTCGAATATTTAGAATATTTAAGAAAACTCGTTCGTAGATTAGAAGTGTGTGATAAACTCGTAGCATGGATTAATAAAGAAGAACAAACTTTCAAATTTCCTATCTCTACTTATCCAGAGTTCGAGGAAATAAAGGAGTATATCTTACCTTTCCACAGTCTTATATATCTACTTCATACCTGGAAAAGAAAATATTACACTTGGATGGACGGACCGTTCGAATATATGAATCATGACAAAATAGAACAAGAGTATGAATATTATACCGAAGAATTTGCAAAAATATCGAATAACTATAAAAACAGAATTAAACAGCAAATAACTGAAGGGATAGATAGACGATTTCAAGGACTAGTCGATGATCCAGATGTAAATAATCTTCCAGCTCCAATGAAGTTGTGTGCTCAAGCAGTAACTAAACTAAATGATTGGAAACCTAACGTAAAAATGGCTCACATTATGTGTAATCCTGCGTTAGTACAAAGGCACTGGGATGAAATGTCGCTCATTGCTGGTTTTGATTTAACTCCTACAGCTGGCACTACTCTCAGAAAAATTATAGATTTTGATCTTTGGGGTAAAATTGATCAATTTGAAATTGTAAGTATTGCAGCTACGAAAGAACTTGCCCTTATAACGAGTTTTAAAAATATGATGGCTGAATGGAATGACGTATGTTTCAAAACAAGTCCATACAAAGATGCAGGACTACACATACTTTCTGGTCTAGATGATATACGAAGTATTTTAGACGACCACATAGTTAAAACGATCGATATGAGAGGATCTGCATTCGTTAAGCCATTCGAATCACAAGTAAAGGCATGGTATGACAAAATTATAAGAACAAACGCTACAATAGATGAGTGGGACAAAGTGCAAAGTCAGTGGCTGTATCTATTGCCCATTTTTTCTTGTAAAGATATTTTGGTGCAAATGTCAGAAGAAGGAGTAATGTTTGTAGAAGTTAATAATATATTTCGGAGATATATGGACTATGTAGATAAAGACCCGAATGTAATTGAGCTTGCTGGAACTGATGGAGTATTAGAAGAGTTAAAAATAGCGTCAGTATATCTGGAGAAAATAAAAAATGGTGTAAATAACTATTTGGAAAAGAAGAGATTTTATTTTCCGCGATTCTTTTTCTTGTCTAACAACGAGATGTTTGAAATATTATCTGAAATTAATAATCCTTACAAAGTGCAAAGATATTTAAATAAAGTTTTTGTAGGCATTAATAAATTAGTATTAGATGAAGAGTTTAACATTTCAGCCATGGTATCTAAGGAAGGAGAACATGTTAAGTTTCTTGAAATTATAAGTATACATGCTACAAGAGGTTCTGTTGAGAAATGGCTAGTACAAGTAGAGGCACAAATGTTAAAGGCCGTTAAATCTGAAACAGAATTATCTTATTATGACTACCAGAAATTGGCTAGACCAAAGTGGATACTGATCTGGAAAGGCATGGCTGTTCTTGCAGCGTCTCAAATACACTGGGCTGCAGGTGTTCACGGTGCATTAAATACTCATAAATTGAGTCAATTAAAAGAATTCAGCTGTTTCTTAAACAAACAACTCAATGAAACCGTTGCCATTGTTCGGCGTACAGATTTGAGTAAATTAAGCGGTATAACAGTGAAAGCGCTTATTGTAATCGATGTACACGCGAAAGATGTGATTGCTGATTTAGTAGAAAAAGAAGTGAGTGAGGTTACGGACTTTCAATGGCTGGCACAACTTCGATATTACTGGGAGGATGAAAAAATTGTCGTTAAAATAGTAAATGCTGTTGTAAACTACGCTTATGAATATCTTGGAAATTCTGACCGTTTGGTGATTACGCCTTTAACAGATAGATGTTATCGAACATTAGTAGGTGCCTACTTTCTTCACTTAAATAGTTCTGCAGAAGGACCCGCTGGAACTGGAAAAACTGAAACAACTAAAGATTTAGCTAAGGCACTCGCCGTTCAGTGTGTTGTTTTTAATTGTTCAGATGGACTACATTATAAAACCATGAGTAATTTTTTTAAAGGGTTGGCTGCGAGTGGATCCTGGATGTGTTTTGATGAATTTAACAGGATAAATGTTGAAGTACTGTCTGTAATAGCGCAGCAAATTTTATGCATCGTTCAAGCCGTACGTCAAAAATTGGAAACATTTTTATTTGAAGGAACTACTTTAAATTTAAATCCTGCTTGTTATGTTTGTGTAACTATGAATCCGGGCTACGCTGGTCGTTCCGAGTTACCTGATAACTTAAAAGTGCTCTTTAGGACAGTCGCTATGATGGTTCCAGATTGCGCAATGATTAGTGAAATTTCCTTATTTTCTTTTGGTTTTATCGCTGCTCAAAGCTTATCTCTTAAAATTGTCACAATATACCGATTGTTATCAGAACAACTATCGACACAAAATCACTATGATTATGGAATGCGTGTTGTGAAAACGGTTTTGACAAAAGCTGGCTACTTGAAACGTGATTATCCAAATGAAAGTGAAAGTATCCTACTACTTCGAGCTATTACTGACGTAAGCCGTCCAACCTTTGTAACATTTGACGTACCTCTGTTTGAACGTATTATATCGGACTTGTTTCCTGGGGTTAGTTTACCAAAATTAGATTACGAAAATTTTGTAAACGCCTGCACCGACATTTGTGAGAAAGATAATCTTCAACCTATGGAATATTTTCTAATGAAGATAACACATACTTATGAAATGATGATTGCTAGACACGGATTTATGCTAGTGGGGGATACTTTTTCTGGAAAGTCTATGACATGGAAAACACTATCTCAAGCTCTTACTCTTATGTACGAAAGAAAACAACCAAATGGGTCGGAATGCACATTTAAAGTATTAAATCCAAAAGCAGTTACTGTGGGTCAATTGTTTGGCGCATTTGACCCTACATCTAACGAATGGACTGGTGGAATAGTAGCAAAAATGTTCCGAGACTTTGCAGCAGAAGATACCGTTATTAGAAAGTGGATTGTGTTTGATGGTCCGGTAGACGCTGTATGGATTGAAAATATGAACACTGTTTTAGATGAAAACAAAAAACTATGTTTAACATCCGGAGAAGTGATTTCTGTGTCCAATCTAATGTCCATGATATTTGAAGTTATGGACTTAAGTCAAGCGTCCCCTGCCGCAATCTCTAGATGTGGAATGATACACTTGGAATCAGCGGTACTTGGATTTATGCCTTTTTACAAATCCTGGCTTAATACTCTTAATCCTATTTGGTTAGAAGACAATAAGGAATACATTTTTGCAGTGTGTGAATGGATCTTTGATCCGCTAGTATATTTTGTTGGAAAACAATGCATACAACTGGTAACAGCAGGACAAGTACATTTAATTGTCAGCACGCTTCGACTCGTAGATATGTTAATGAATGATGCTTTAGAAGAAGAAGAGGACACAAGATATACAAGAACTTGGTTTTTAGCATCATTTATGACTGCGTTAGTTTGGGGTATAGGAGGAATATTAAATTCGTATTCTCGAGAAAAATTTGATGTATTATTAAAAGATTACCTGAAAGGTGAGCATGGTATGCCAGATGGTATTGATCGATTTGATGTATCTATTCCAAGTGAAGGTATGATAATTGATTATTATTACATGTACAAAGGAAAAGGCTGTTGGAAAACCTATGCAGACACAGTCAAAGCTAGTCCTCTACTGGAAAAGACTAACCTATTTGAAACTGTTGTTCCAACTACGGAAACTGAGAAATACGTTGCTCTATTAACTTTACACACAAAATTTAGTGTGCCTTTACTCCTGATTGGACCGACAGGCACTGGTAAAAGTTTTTACATTCAAAACTTTTTGACGAATACTATTAGTATAGAAAAATATACACCTTCTTTTCTTACGTTTACCACCACGACCACTTGCAATGAGACACAAAATTTAGTGCTTTCGAAACTGATCAAGAGAAGTAAAGGTAGCTACGGCCCTACCAAAGGTAAAAAAGGTATAATATTCATTGATAATATGAATCTGCCTGCAAAAGAATTATATAATGCTCAACCAGCTATAGAATTATTAAGGTTATATTTCGATCAGAAACATTGGTACGACGTAAAAACAGCTGAGAAATTATACATATTAGACACATTCTTTTACGGAGCCATAGCTCCAGTTGGGGGTAGCCGCCAACTAATATGTCCAAGATTGTTAAGACATTACAATATTTACTCTATTAATGAATTTTCTAAAGAGTCTATGAATAAGATATTTACGACTTTATTGCAATTAGGATGGAAGAGAAATGGATTCGGTCAAGACTCTTACGGCAATATGGTCAACATTATAGCCGCTACAATGGACATATATGAGCAAGCAGTTGCAGTCTTGAGACCAACACCTTCAAAGATGCATTACATATTTAATTTAAGAGATTTTTCTAGAGTAGTTCAGGGTTGTGCACTCTTAAGAAAAGAATCTACAGACAATAAAAAAACATTCATTAGAGTCTGGGTTCACGAAATTTTGCGCGTATTTTATGATCGACTTGTAGACGCTAATGATCGAACATGGTTTTTTAATATTTTAAAGAAATCTACCGGAGAGTTTATGAAAGACTCGTTTGAAAACGCACTGGATACTTATCAAAACGACAAAAAATTTGTTACTCAAGAGACAGTCAAAAATATGATGTTTGGATGTTATTTAGATACAGATAGTGCCGAAGGCCAAAGACGATATGAAGAGGTGCCGTCGAGAGATGCGATGTCAAAGTATGCTACTGCTATGTTACATGAATATAACACGAATCATAAAACTAAAATAAATATAGTACTATTTAACCATGCTTTGGAACACTTATCGAAAATTTGTAGACTCCTCTCTATGCCTTCGGGAAATGGTTTATTAGTTGGGGTAGCAGGTTCTGGTCGTCAATCACTCACGCGATTAGCTACAACTATGATGCGGCAAAATGTGTTTCAACCAGTAATCACAAAAAAATATTGTATTACAGACTGGCAAGAGGATTTAAAATGCGTACTTCGTGAATCTGGTGGTCTAAACAAAGACACAACGTTTTTATTTAGTGACACTCAGATAAGAGATGAACAATTTATTCAAAATTTAGACAGCCTTCTTAACTCTGGCGAAGTCCCTAATCTCTTCGGTTTAGATGAACAACGAGAGATTATTGAACTGGTCCGTTTGGCAGCGCAGGGAGGAAACAGAAATTTAGATATAAATCCATTGCAAATACTGGCTTTTTTCGTGGGTCGCTGTAAGGTAAAATTACATATTATACTTTGCTTTAGTCCTATAGCAGATGCTTTTCGAAAGAGACTTAGATTGTATCCATCTTTAGTCAATTCTTGCACTATTGATTGGTATGATAGTTGGCCTGAAGATGCCTTAGAAATGGTAGCACTACATTATATGTCTAAAGTGGATATCCCCGATGGTGTTAAAGCTATGGCAGTTACCATTTGTAAACAATTTCATGTTGATGCTAGTGTCGTTTCGGCAGATTTTTATAATAATTATGGAAGAAAGACATACATTACATCTGCATCTTACTTACATTTAATTAAATTATTTACCACATTAACAAATATAAAACAAAGAGAATTGAGAGCTGCCAAATTAATATATACGAACGGTCTAGATAAGCTCGGTCAAGCTGCTGAAGCTGTGACTATTATGCAGAGAGATTTAAATGCTTTGAAACCTCAATTACTAACAATGGCTGAAAAATCTGTTAAAATGATGGAGGAGATAGCAATTGAAACAGCTATTGCTGACAAAGCAGCAGCTCAAGTAAGAGAAGATCAAAAAGTCGCAAATGTCCAAGCAGCAGCTGCTCAAGAACTTAAAAAAGATTGTGAAGCAGATTTAGCCCTCGCTTTACCGATTCTTGAAGATGCTATTGCTGCTTTAAATACTTTGAAACCTGCTGATATAACAATAGTGAAGTCGATGAAAAATCCACCGTATACAGTCAAACTGGTTATGGCTGCGGTATGTGTTATAAAAGGAGTTGCTCCTGACAAAATTCTCGATCCTGACAATCCTGGAAAAAAAATGTATGATTTTTGGGGGCCAAGTAAAAGAATTTTAGGTGATATGAGTTTTTTAGAATCACTAAAAAATTTTGACAAAGATAACATATCCATTCCAGTTATGCAAAAAATTAGAAAGGAATACCTGTCTAACAAAGATTTTAAACCTCACATAGTAGCCAAAGCTTCTAACGCTGCTGAAGGCCTGTGTAAGTGGATAATAGCTATGGATATGTATGACGCAGTCGCAAAGGTGGTAGCCCCAAAAAAAGCAAAGTTACAAGCGGCTGAAAAAGAATTTGCTCAAACAATGGCCATCTTAGACGAAAAAAAGGCAACTGTTGCTAAATTAGAAGCTAAACTCGTTGAACTGAACCAAGCTTTGGAAGAGGCTAATATCAAAAAGAAAGTTTTAGAAAATGAAGTACGGTTATGTGTTGATAAATTACATCGAGCTGAAAAGTTGATAAGTGGGTTGGGTGGAGAAAAAATACGTTGGACACAAGCAGCTGCAAAATTACAAGGTCTCTTTGATAATTTAGCCGGCGATATTCTGGTATCATGTGGAATTATTGCTTATTTAGCTCCTTACACTATTCAAATTAGAATGAAAATGATTGACGAATGGCGAGCTCATATTATTAAATTAGAAATACCACATTCAGAATATTTTGTTTTTAAAGATATCCTTGGCACTGACATAAAAATTCAAAATTGGTGTATTGCAGGTTTACCGCGAGAATCTTTTTTTATTGATAATGCAATCATACAAGACAATTCGTTAAGGTGGTCTTTATTCATTGATCCTCAAGGACAGGCTAATAAATGGATCAAAACAATGGAAAAATTAAACGACTTGCAAGTATTAAAGTTTATTGATGGCAATTACATGAAAGTTATTGAAGCGTGTTTAGAATATGGCAAACCAGCTTTAATAGATTGTGTTTTGGAAGATGTGGAAGCCACACTTGATCCCGTTCTACTTAAACATACGTATATGCAAGTTGACAAAGAATTCGTTCATATAGGGGACAACGTTATAGAATATCATCCTAATTTTAGACTTTACATGACGACTAAATTACGTAATCCTCATTATTTACCAGAAGTTTTTAATAAAGTAACATTAATTGACTTTGCACTCACTAAAGATGGATTGGAAGACCAACTACTAGGTATAGTTGTAGCAAAAGAGAGGCCTGATTTGCAAGAAAAACGAGAAAAGTTAATCGAGAAAGGTGCCGCCAATCGAGCTGCACTTAAGCAAGTTGAGCAAGATATTCTACGCACTTTACAAGAATCAAAAGGCGATATTTTAGAAGATGAAAATGCAATAAAAGTCTTAGATTCCTCAAAACTAATAGAGATAGATATAAAGAAGAAACAAGAAGCCAGTTTGGACACAGAAATGTTAATAGAGAAATTTCGTGAGGGCTATAAACCTATTGCTTCGCACTCAGCGGTTTTATATTATTGTATCACTGAATTACCAAATGTTAACACAATGTATCAATTTTCCGTGACATGGTTCATTAATCTATATACAAAATCAATCGAAAATGCGAATAAAGCAAAAGACTTAAAAAAGAGGTTAAAGTTCTTAAAAGATACAGTTACTTATAATTTATACAGTAATGTTTGCAGATCATTGTTTGACAAGGACAAACTTATGTTTTCCTTCATATTGTGTTCAAAAATGTTGATATCCTCAGGCAAAATGGATCGGGATGAGTACTTATTCCTTATAATGGGAGGTATTTGTGTTCAAAATCCCAACAAAAAACCATTCGAATGGTTATCTGACAAAAGTTGGGATGAAATTTGTCGTTTAAATGATTTGCCAACGTATAATGGTTTTATGAATGATTTTGTGAATAACACATCAATGTGGAAGGCAGTTCACGATGGTCTAGAACCTCATATTACAACATTGCCAGAAGAGTGGGACAGGAAATTAACAACATTCCAAAAATTGTTGATAGTTAGAGTATTACGGCCAGATATTTTAATTGTAGCTGTATCAGATTTCGTTGAAAAAGAAATGGGCAAACAATACATAACACCTCCGCCGTTTGATATAGGAAAGTCGTTTGGAGATTCAAACTGTCTTGTACCTTTAATATTCATCTTATCACCTGAGTCCGATCCTTTAAGTATATTGATGAAGTATTGTAAACGAATGGGATACTCGCATAGGTTTAACTCTATATCTTTGGGACAGGGACAGGGCTCGGTTGCACGAGGTATGATAGAACAAGCTCAGATCGAAGGTGGCTGGGTTTGCTTACAAAACTGTCATTTGGAAGTTTCTTGGCTTCCCGTCCTAGAAAAACTTGTAGAAGGATTTAATTTAAAAAATACTGACTTAAGTTTCAGGTTGTGGTTAACAAGTTATCCATCGGATAAATTTCCGCAGTCTATTCTACAAGTTGGTGTTAAAATGACAAATGAGCCTCCTACTGGACTCCAACACAAGTTAAACCGGTCTTATAACTCGGAGCCGCTAAATAACGTTGAATTTTACGAAGGATGCTCTGGAAAGGAAAAGCAGTTTAGTAAACTCTTATATGGAATCAGTTTCTTTCACGCTGTAGTGCAAGAAAGAAAAAGATTTGGTCCTTTGGGGTGGAATACTCAATACGATTTTAATGATGCCGATTTTCAAATATCAGTAATGCAACTTCAAATGTTTTTGAATCAATATGACGACATTCAATATGCAGCTATCCAATATGTAACTGGAGAATGCAATTACGGTGGCAGAGTAACCGATGAATGGGATCGTCGTTTAATACTTTCAATACTTAATAAATACATTAACCCTAGCGTAATAAATGACCCAAATTATTCCTTTTGTGATTTTGCCCCTCAATTTGGATTACCTCGAAGATGTGAATATCGTAATTACCTTAAACATTTAGAAACTGTGCCTTTAAATCCTTCATCAGAAGTATTTGGGTTACATATGAATGCAGGCATAACTCGTGACTATGTTGCTTCGATGTCACTGACTGAAGCATTGGGGTGTGTTGAGGGTGTTGGTAGCAGAGATGAGAGTGCAAATACCGAACATATTGTAGAGGAAATGACTTCAAATATCCTTTCTAAATTGCCCGATCTCTTTGATATTGAAATATCTCAGACAAAATACCCAGCAGACTACAACGATTCAATGAATACAGTTTTAATTCAAGAGATGAAACGTTTTAACAAATTACTAAATGAGATTAAGGTATCTTTGTCAGACTTGCAGAAAGCAGTTAAAGGCCTTATTATCATGTCTCAAGCTCTAGATTTACAATCTAATGCAATGTTATTAGGTAAAATACCTAGTAATTGGGCTCAAGTTTCGTATCCTAGTTTGAAGCCTCTATCTAGCTATGTATCTGACTTTATAGAACGCTTGAATATGTTAAAAGATTGGTATGAGAATGGCAAACCGCCAACTTTTTGGCTTTCGGGATTCTTTTTCACACAAGCTTTACTGGCCGGTTCTGTCCAAAACTATGCTCGAGATAAACAACTTCCTATAGATTTATTAATATTTGATTTCGAGGTACGCTATATGGATTATGAAGAGGTTCCACCGCAGTGTGGAGTGTATGTGCGCGGACTTTTTATGGGTGGAGGGCGTTGGGATCGAAAGAACTTTGTTATAGCTGAACAACTTCCAAAGATACTTAACGATGTGCTACCAGTTGTATGGCTCTGTCCTAAGCTAAAATCGAAATTTGTAGAAGGTTTGAGATATAAATGTCCGCTTTATAAAACTTTGGAAAGACAAGGTGTGTTAGCTACTACTGGTCTCTCATCTAATTTTGTGCTAGCATTTTATTTACCATCGGATAAACCCTCGGATCATTGGATACAACGCAGCGTGGCCTTATTGCTCCAGTTGGATAATTAAGGTGTATACATTTTTGCGGAAACATTCTTTCGAAACCCATGGAGAGTACAATTATTATTCTGCTGTAGGATGATGTATTTTTTAAATTCTTGTAATCAGTTTATAGAAAGTAAGTAGAGAAACAACCCGTCTGGCCAGCGAGGTATAATAGGCCAAGGATAATAACAGGGAAAAGGAACAAGGATAAACACAAGGATTTTATTAATGTATCTAAACAGTACAAGTACCTTTTATTCTACATATATTTAGCCTAAAAGCCTAAAATGTTTGCCAAACTTATTTTTTTTTAATTTTAGCAACAACAGTACAATACACCTTGATCGCTCATGATATGACATCTAAATCATTTTTTTATTTTGAAATGGAGGAAAAAAGTTTGTTTTTCAACTTTTACTTATCAAATACCTAACAAGAACATCAACTTTACACAACGAGTTGAAGTTTATAATCTCATTTTTAAATTTATCTTTCAATATTGACCAAGCCGATTTGTGCTGGTTGTCTGGTGGTCGACTTTTAGGCATATCATAAGATAAAAACTGTTACACACAAATAAATGTACAACCAATAGGTGGTAGGTACATGATGAGCGACATATCACAAATGACTATGCGGTATTGATTTCCATAAAGCCGTTTAAGGTCATACCATACATAATATATTAAATCCTTGGATCAGCAGCTCTGGTACGTCGATTCGGTTACGGCTAGGCGACCGCTGGTAGTGTGCTGCAAGCAGGCCGCGGCAGGGGTGAGACTGAGAGGGCACGGAGAGTCGTAACGTGGGGACGACGAGCCATAATGGCGAGAACTGCAATTTAACCACGCACCGCACCAAGTTTCGTGAGCTTGCCCGTGGCGAGGCTATTACGTTACGATTCCGTTCATAGTGCATTGTAGTAAGGAGTTTCATACAAAGAATACTCGGCTCGAGTAGATACGGTGACGATCCCTTTCCGAGTGGATATGTGTGCTATGAGTAGATATGTGTGCTATGAAGAAATAAATATATACATAAACTTGAAAAATACAACTCTCCTTCTATCTATACATATTTACAAAGCGTGATTTGAGGACTTAATGTAGATATGTAGGTATATATATGGATTCATAAAATAAGCAAGGTTGTTTTAAGTAAATTCAGTTTAGAGTTACCTAGTCATACTTACTTACCTACATCTTTTTGTTTTATTTTACCATCTCTAATTGTTACTAACAGAAACTAAACATGAATGTGAATACTTCCTTTACGTTTATATTTCCAATAAAGTTTGAAAAGGTTATTATAGATCCATGGTAATTGTTTCCTTCTCGTTATTGGAATCGTAATATTCTAAATATAATACTACTATAATAACTGTTGTGGAAGTTTTATTTCATGTCGTGAACTCTAAGCTTTATGACCTTTATTTATAGAGTCGATTTATATTTATATATCTTTATTTATATATGCGTACTATGGGTGTTCCACATTAGGGTCACATTAGTGTGTTGGAAAGTAAAACAAAATGAATAACAATCATTTCTTAGCTCAAAATCATATTTACACATGACATTAATTAGATACGTATGCTGATTAAATCGGTTACGAGTGTTTTTGGTCAATAAGAAATCAAAATATGAATATATTCCTCGTTCGTCTAGGCCTTCATATCCATCAGTATCAGAAGCACCAATCAAAGCCCCGTTAGCAATAGTTAGTTACGAATAGAAAACGAAAGGGTCCAAAATACAAGCCAAGTTTTATACTAGGAGTATGTACTACTCTCTCAAGAAAGTACCTGGAAAAGATCAATAATACACAAATGTTTGTTATTCAGCCAAATTTATTTTATTACCTTCAAAGTAAGCTCTTTCAGAAACGAAACACTTACGGCAACGAATAATCCAATCATCAAAACATTTTTTAAACGCTGTTTCCGCAATTGAGTTTAGTTCTCGCCGCTAGTTCTCCTTTATGTCTTCTACTGATTGAAAACGGGTGCCACGAAGTGGTAATGTGAGTTTAGGAAAAAAAAGCTGAAGCCATATCTGGTGAATATAGTGGTTGCTCAATTGTATTTGTTGAGTGTTTGATGATGGCTTTGTGCGAAGGCGCATTATCGTGGTCCAAAACCAAAAATTTTTTTTCCACAAATCTGGCCTTTTTCGTCGAATTTGCTCTCTTAAATGCCGCATAACGCTCCAATACTATTCTTCAGTTACCGTTTGACCTTCCGGCAAGAATTCGTTTTTTCGGTTTTGGTTCAGTTGGAAGGAGTCGCCACTCCGAAGCGGTGACGGATTCAGAATACAGAGTGTCACCACCTCTATTCATCCCGTGGGTTTCGTAAGAGCCGACTTAGGGAGAAATCTACGCAGAACAACAACACTGCAGAGAGAAGGAAAACTTGACACAAACCCTATACCAACCCGTCTGGCCAGCGTGGTATAGTAGGCCAAAACCTCCTTTCTAAGGAGAGGCCTATGTCCAGCAGTGGACTATTAAAGGCTGTTGATGTGATGCGACTCCGAAGCTTGTTGACTAGTTTGCATGTCAAACTCGTAAACCCACGTCTCGTCACCAGTAACAATGCGTTTCATGAATGTTGGGTCGGAATTGACTGGTTGTATCATGTCCTCAGCGACTCTCATGCGATTGAGTTTTTGGAGAAAATTCAGGTCTTTTGGGACTAGCCGAGCGGTACCATGTTTCATACCCAAATGATTAGTTAAAATGGTACGGATCGACTCGTGAGATACAGAAAGTTCGGCGGCTCTCTCAAAATCTCTCTCAAAGTTGACTGAGGATTTTCAGTCTCTATTTCCTTCACTTTTGCGATGTTAACTTCAGTTGCAGACGTTGATGGCCTACCAGAGCGAGGTAAATCTCCCATCACATCTCGACCGCTTTTGAAAACACGTGTTTTTGATAAAGTCGATTCACCGTTAGCCTTCTGTAATATTTTCAGTGACTCCGAACACGAAAGTCCATTGGCGATGCAAAATTTAAAACAAACTCTTTGTTCGATGTTTTTGTCTATTATGAAATTCGCAATACACACTAGATATGATATAACTTAAAACAGCACTGTACTTAATATAAATAACAGATGCAACTCAAACTCCGCGCCAAAATGGAAAACAGTTGTGCCAATCTAACAACAACAAAAAAAAAAACAAAAATTTGAATTTTAAACAATATACAAATCATCCATTTCCGATACTTTTTTGACAAATTACTACCGGGTTGTACGCTAATTCTTAATATTCCCGGTCTTTTATCTAAGTTTTTTTCCCATAAATTCTAAAAGCCTAATCAAAATATGAATATAGCACGTGGAGCCTCCAGCCCGGGACGACGAACGAGCCATCGTGGCACGGCGAGCGGCCTCACGCCACTCGCGTATTTCTTCGAGTGGGAGCCAAATGCCGCTATCTGCCCGGAACTCAGCCAATATACGAGTACTCCGGGGTGTTCCGGCCAATGCGCACGCCGCCTCGGTCGAAACGGTGCGGTAACCGTGTATGGCTCTAACCGGCAATATCCTCTGAGGGTGCCAAAGTGCCCTATTCTGAGCAGTCAGAACCACCGCCCACACCGGTGCACCGTATAGTGCCTTCTTGTAGCGACGCTGGGTCCATCTAGATTTCGCAAAAGTCGCCCAAGGACAGACACAGGGACGACCAGCTTTGGAGCAAGCTGCTCGTCGAAGAGCCACCTTCCGTCGGTACGAGGACCGAGTTGACCACGATTGAGGCACCGGGCGGTGGACCACGATGGGGCCATGGAATAAGAGGGCCTCCGTCTTATCCAAGGCCACCGGTAAGCCCAGCGCCTCAACCCAGTCAGCCCAGTTTTTTAAGTTAACTACAATTTTGGTGATTGGAATTATAAAACAATGGTTAAACTATACAAAACAGTAAAAAATGAAAAAAATAAAGGATACAAGTTTAAAAAAAATGTATTAGGCAACATTACGGGTATTTTTATGAAATATGTTCATCATCAGCAGCAGCCTTTAATTGTTCACTGTTGGACATAGGCCTGTAAAAGAGGTTTCTAAAAGATAAAATATCTAAGAGGTAAGTAAAATATCTTAAAACTCCAATATCTTGTTAGGTTTGGAATATGGTACTTCATAGTTAAATCTATCAGAATTGATAGCAAGTACAACCCCCCTTAAAGTATCTAGGTCGACTTAACCAGTAATCCTGTACATTAAAATACTCTACATACTACAATACATATTATTATACATAATACATACTACAAGTTTCTTCGAATTTATCAGACTTGATTAGGTTTTGTAGGCTTGAGATACTCTAATCCGCTGATTTTTTTAACAAAGTTCTTTAAATACCGTCTTAAATGATAACAGATGATTTGAGCTCTTATGCATTAATTATGTCTTCGGCATCGATTGTTGTCATTGAGGTCGAAAATTAAAGTGATTGCCATTTCTTGATAAGCAGCTAAACAATTTTGCAAATGTGCATTTATAATGTATCAACCATTTGCACATTTGAAAAATCGTTTTGTTATAGGAATTAACGTATCTACACGATTTTTTTTTATTGCCATTCAACTGTACAGTCCCTGAATAATCCTTAAAAAAAAGTGACACGTGTGGTGGGGTATTTGTATACTTTAGCAATTATTGCATACGTTTTTGACAAAATCCATCAGATTACTGTTGCAACGTCTATGGTGAGCGATATTCTGTGAGAAAGCTTGTTTCATTTTCCAATTCCCAAAAAATCCTTACAAATTTAGATGTAGTGTTTAGTTTTTCCATTTTGTTTCCTTCGGCTTTTCTAAATGATATTTATTTCTGTAAGTAAGTCTTTCAGATATTTCCCAAGACTTACGCTGGGAAGAAACGCCAAAACAAACCATAGAGGTGTCTTTTTTTACTCCGCAGACAAATTTAAATAAAACTTTGCGAGTACAGTATAGGGTCTGAGAGAAGGTCCTTTTGAAGAAAAGACCATAGTTTTGAGTCGGTCTGTTCATACACACGGCATACAGGCCCCAGCCATCGTGTAGCTTAACCGATATTGGTCAAGATCAACGACCTGAAGCACGACACTATATATTATAAAATTCACATTCAACGAAAAATAAACCAATAAAAGAAAAAAAATGTCCATAAATGTGGGAGTGTGCAGCATCAATCCCAAGCAAATTTGTCATCTAAATAATCTGTAATAGTGTAGTAAGCCTTTTCACATAGTTCTATGGATTATTCATGGAATTTGCTTAGCATTTTATTGTAGAATCGCACACCCTAACATCAAAAAGACTTGCTTACTTTTTGTATTCTAGGTTGGTAACACGATTTTATCGTTTTTTTCCTAGTGTTTATTTCATAAATGTCGCTAAACTTTGAGAATAGCTTTGTAAATTGCGCGAATAGCTCTCTATTGCAACACAAAGATACTTTAAATGTCAGCAGCATTTCCCCACAATAAATAAATAACAAAAATATTAATAATAGCTAAAATACACCAGTTGCTGATTTTACACTAGCTGTTTCCACATCGGCTTATTGTCGAATTTATCAAAACCACGTATGCTGCGTCTATTCGGCAATGCATCAATGTGTGGATCCCACTGCAATTTACCAAATCCACCAAATCCAACTCCTTTCCGTTTACCAGAACACTCGTTTTTACCTCCTTAACATTAGGTGTAAAAAATCTATTACATTTCATTTTATTCTCGTTGAAAAGTAAATTATTAACATTGAACTAGTTTATAACCTTAGAGATAGTGCTATTCACTTCATCAGTTACTAATTGCTGTCGTTTAAGTTGAAATAAAAGTGAAGTGTCATCCGCAAATAGCACTAACTCCTGATTATCTTTTATCAGATTAGGTCGGTCATTTATATAATATAAACAAGAAACAAAAATTGGCCGAGAATTGAGCTCTGCGGAACCCCCATAGTGACCAAAGACCCCAGGGACCTCTGTCCATTAACTTCCACACTTTGGATCCTATTGCCCCAATAAGAGATAAAAAGATCCAAAGCAGTATTTCTAATTCATTAGTAATGCAATTTCTTGATTAATGTTTCATAAAAACACAATAGAATGCCTTAGATAAAGCTCAAAAAAACACCCAGCGCATCCTGTTTATCCTCCCAGGCACTAAATATATTTTTCGAAAGTTCTACGCCGGCATTACTTGTCGAGCGACCTCTTCTGAATCCAAACTCTTTCCTGTGTAGAATTTTGTTTGCACTGAAGTGAGTTTGTAGCTGATTATAGTAGTAGAAAGTAGGTAACACTGAAATTGGTATATAATTTGTAGGATCAGACGTGCTTTGAATAAAGGAATGATGATGATACTGAAACATACTATGTTTCAGTATTGCTGGTAAGCAACCGCCGAACATAGACACCTTGCAGGTCATCACCTTGTCAAACGTTACAAGTGCGTTGCTGCCCTTGGAGACCGTTCGAGTCAGCGGGAGGGGAGATTTGGGCTCCGGTAACCTCACTCACTCAGTGAAAGGCAACGAAAGAATTGCTTAACACCGGTTTTCTGTGAGGCTGAAAATCACCAAAAAAAATGGTAGTCCGTTGGAGCAAGGAAGGTTAGAGGATGACGTATGGTTTCTAACTGCAGCTCCTGTAAAGTTACAATGGTTTCTCGTGCAGAGTGAGGTCTTACGTTATCATGGCGCAATAATGGTGAAGATCGATTCACGAGTCGGGGCTGTTTCACTGCCAGTTTCGCCATCATTGTTTGAAGTTCGGCACAGTAAACATCTGCTGTTATTGCCTGACCAGACGAAAATCCCACGACATGAAGGTTTGATGCCAATTCAAAGTATCTATTACTATACAACGGCAATTTCATACTTTAACCCCTATTACATTTTCTCAACAAGTTTTATGAAAAACGTTAAAAAAATGTTCCTACACATTGCAATTGAGAGTATTTCATAGGGACGTTCCTTATCTAAAATCACTGTTAGGAATTTTGTCGCTACCTGTTAGGAATTTTGTCCAACCACTTTTTTAATTCTACTGGCCTATAGGGTAAATTGGCATGCAATAGGAGAGGCCTATGTCCAGCAGTGGACTGCATTAGGCTACTGATGATGATAGCGTAAATTTATTATTATCAAAAGTAACCCGAAAACGTTATTACGATAAGCAAATAAATCCAACTATTTACGAACCTTAGGATTTAATTCTATTACGCAATGAAAATTTCAATAAATTTCAGAATGTTTATACTGGTCCCTTTAAAGTTTCGACGCTCAACCGTTTTTACAATTCATCTTTACTATGACAACTCTTTTCCGCTTTTCTTAAGCTAGTTAACTGTAGGCTAATATTTTGATTGCAAATAACTGAAAAAAAACTTACTTATGCAATATTGGATAAACGTGAACATATTAGCAGCTATATAGATATAGGTATCTGAGACCCACGTGAGAGTCACGACCTTACCAAAACAGTTCTTAGTATTATTTCTGAAAAGAAACTGTCAAATAAATAATAAGAACATAACTTACAGGTGCCTTTCTACAGGTTGTACGAATTTGGTTCCATAGTGTATATCAAAAGTGATTACTTCCTTTATCAGTTTCTTTTGCATTTAAAGTCGTCTACTACCATAGGCGGTTACCATGGCTGTTTTCTTGTAGACATTCTAAACCTAAATGTGACATCGGCCTATTGGCAGATATGGGCAGATGTTTATAGAAACGATCCTACTTATATTATTGTTTAATGCAATTTTTATTTTAAAGATCTTCTCATTTAGATATTGTGGTCTTTGAAAATAGATAAGCATTCAAGATGGAGGAGAGAGAAATAAGATTATTATTACAATCGAAGAACGGTTGTCGCGTGCCGAAAATGATGCCTATTCCCGATATACATCAAATGGACAAGTTACCCTTCACACCTACGCCACCGTACAATAGACTAAAGGTACTAAATATACTATGACCCTATTGCTGTTCAAGTTGTCGTCAAAATCTTTCACTAACTCAACAGTCGCCGTCTAAATGTTAATTTAGTCAATAAATTTGACAGGGATAAATTGTAGCCTATTCTAGAATATAATCTATTTATGTGCCAAATCTTGTTCAGATCCGGAAAGCCGATTTGGCGTAATTGAGTAACAAACATACTTACAATTTGAAAAGTTAAAAAAATATGTAGTATTTTTTTTGATAAAGAATAATAATTGTACTGAGAGTTGGGAATCTATAAGTAAAAAAAAATAGTTCCCCATACTAATTTGCATCTTGCAACCTTTTTAAGGATAGTTTTGGGAAATTAGTAACAAAGTTTTTATTACTTACTGTGAGTTTGAAAAACTCTTCTACAAAAAATAACGAGTTTCATATAATATCCAATCCCCCTTTTCCTTTCTCCCTTCCCTTATGGGTCGAATTTTCGAAAATCCTTTCTAAGTGTACACCTATGTACCTTAGAAATATTAGTGCAAAATTTCAAGCTTCTACACCCGGCGGTTTATTCTTTTATAAATATATAGATATATATGTTACACATATGTTATAACTATTCGGCATTATGAAAATCGGTATTTATGTAGTGTACCCGGAAGGAATAAATAATTTCAAATGTTCAGCAGTGGACTATTCTGATGATTATGTTGAAGTTATAGGATCTTTTATAATAGAAAATACACATGGAACTTTTCAATAATCTAATAATGTCAAAGTATTTTTACAGAGTGTCAGAAACAAAAAAAACTAGTAACCTGACAATAGAAGAATAGGCCACACTCTCAAAGAGAAACTTTACAAAGCACCATAGAGTTTCTATTTCAACATCTTCTCTCTTTGTCAAGTTCAGCCAGTGTTTTCTCTTCCACTAAGCATTCCAATTTTTCCGCACCCTTCTTTTGAGAATACCCATTTATCACCAGTCGCGCTTTATAACGTTCTATGCCTCCATCTGGATTCTTTACTTTGTAAATCCATTTACATGGTATAGCCTTTCTTCCCTTAGGTAAAGGTACCATTTCCCAAGTTTCGTTTTCTTTCAACGACTTCATTTCATCATCCATAGCTATTTTCCACTTTTCCTTATCTTTGGATTTCATAGCTTCTCTGAATGATTGAGGTTCTTTTACATCACCCAACTCTGCAACTGTCATCATCACAAAATCATCAAATTTTTGAGGTGCTCTCAACGTTGAACGATCTCTTAGTCTCATACCTTGCTCTTCCTCTGGTTCTGCATTTGGATCCTTCTCTATTTCTGGTTCTACCTCTTGCTGCAACTCTGGTAAGACTTCTTCATTTTCAACCTCACTTTCTATATGTTCAGAGCCACAATCTTCGAATCTTTCATCATCACTGGGCTCTTCTCCATCATTAACTCGATCAGCTGTATCTGGTTTTACAAGTTTAACTATCGCTTCTGGGATTTCTATTTTACCGATAAGACCTTTCTGGACATTTGGTTCTTGAATACTCTCCTTCATCTCATCCTTAGACTTAAGGCTTTTCTTCAAACGTTACATCTCTGGATCGAACTATTTTGTTCTTCTCTTTAACCCAAATTCTATAACCCTCGTCATTATCGTAACCGACCAGCACACCTTTAATAGCTTTCTTGTCCAGCTTCTTTCTCGTTATTTTTGGAACGTGTGCATAGCAAATACTACCAATTACTCTCAAATGCTTAATCCTGGGCTTCTTGTTGTACCAGATCTCGTACGGTGACTTGTCTAGTGGAGTAGGGCCCGTTCTATTCAGTATGTACACTGCGGTATCCACTAACTCAGCCCATAGACTTTCAGGTAGACTAGTAGGTAACTGAGTTGTTAGATTTTCTACAGTCCTGTCTTCTTTTGACATCATCATCCAGCTTGACTTAAACGAGAAGTACTCTTCAGGTAAAGTATCCAGTTTCTTACAAATTAGGAATAGTTCTGGCAGCTCTTCTTTCAGGTGTTCCTTCTGGAGTTCCCTGGTAAGTTCTGACCAGATATTTTTCAATTTGCTGACATGTGCTGACACGTCACCACCAGATTGCATCTTATAACTAAAGAACTTCATGCACATGTCGTAGGCTTTGCTTTCTGATATACCATCATACAGGCGATGTAATTCCAGCCATACATCTCTTGCAGTAGAATACCTCATGACTTTTTCGCAGTTTTCTTGTGACAAATTCGTTGAGATGAGTAGCAAGGCTGCGCTATCCGCTGACACATACTTTTGCTCTTGTTCTTCATACTTTTTTACATCTGCAGCTGTTGCATCCACTTTTAGTTTCTCGGGCGGCACTAGCTTGCCCTCAACTACATCTTGGATCTTCAAACCTCGCAGCGCAATCATTATTTTGAATTTCCATGTTGCCCAGTTCGACTCATCAAGTGCTCCTACGTGAATCTTCGCTGCATCAACGATTGAATTTTGCATCTTGAGCTCTCGAACTATCAACACGTAATTTCTATCTGAATTTTATTTCCCGGAACCACGCTCTGCTACCATGTTGAAGTTATAGGATCTTTTATAATAGAAAATACACATGGAACTTTTCAATAATCTAATAATGTCAAAGTATTTTTACAGAGTCTCAGAAACAAAAAAAACTAGTAACCTGACAATAGAAGAATAGGCCACACTCTCAAAGAGGAACTTTACAAAGCACCATAGAGTTTCTATTTCAACAGATTATGAATTTTAAATGAAAACGTCTCAAAATAGTGTGTTTATTAGCACTAACCTTTAAGTGCTCAGACGACCGGTCCCTAAACAAGTGTTTAATTCTTTAAAAAAAATATGTTGGGAATGTGTGCGTTACAACAGCACAATAATATCGAAAATTGACATTTAAATTTTATAGATAAAATTAGTTGCCCAGCTTCTGTAATTGTTATGCGTTCTAATAATTGGTATCGCATTCGGCCACTTACTAAGGACCCGAACCACTTATACCGTTACCGCAGCTAGGCATTTCTTTTTTATGGCACATTGAAATAAATATTAGCTAAATAATGAGTTATCTAGACGAGGTAAATGTTATAACTTGTTCTGTATTTGTATTTTCTCCGGCTGCGAAGTTATTCGAGATCCTGCTGGAGTAACGTTTGTGGGTTTGCTGTATCTCTGAAACAAGCAATCGGAGTTCTAAAGAACTTTTTTGTAACCACCTAAATATGGTCGGGTTACTACGATCTTGCACCTTCTAGAATAGAATAGAATAATCTTTACTTGTACACTAGTTCAGTACATAATACATAAAATAGTACTGCAAGTTACTGACCATGTACAAATGGCAACCTTATCGCTAAAAAGCAATTTCTTACAGGCAACCTTTAGATGGACAAATACAATGTAAATAGGTAATTTCATGGAAAGTTTTGTGTGAAAAAAAGTGTTAAGGAATCAAAAAATATTCTAATGACTTTTATTTAATTATCTCGTTAATTATTGTATGTATTGTATGTTAGTTATTGATAGAACATCCAGTTTATATATCCACACACAGGCCGTGCTCATTGTGACCGTGAAGTGTATAGTGTGTATAACTTATTAATTACTTACAGTATACTAACGAAATTTACACTTATACAGCTATAACATAACCTTTAGGGTATGTCTTTACAGGTCTTATCCAAAGTGTTAGGACGTATTGAAGTGTTTTAGATAGTCTTTAATTACATAATATTTAAACGGTGCATTATTTTTGTTTTTTTTATATTGCTAAGCAAATTAAAACTAATTTTTATGAAACTATGTACAAAAGATGAGTTAGAATCCACTTGCCCATTTCAGAGATCCAGCAAACCCACAAACGTAACTCCAGCAGGATCTCGAATAACTTCGCAGCCGAATAAAACACAAATACAAAATAAGTTGCAACATTTATCTCGTCCAGATAACTAATTATTTAGCAAATATTTATTTCAATATTCCAACTATAAAAGAATATGTCTGGCTGCGGTAACGGTATAAGTGGTTCGGGTCCTTAGTAATATTTAAGTGGCCGAATGCGATACCAATTATTAGAATTGCGATTAAAAAACGATACGATGCGGCACGTGCAATTGGCTAGACAGATCATATCACATTTTACTTGTAGCTTGAAACAAAGTATGAAATTGGCCTAGCATGTTTATATTAATAGATTTTTTTTTAAATTAATGGGTACATTTACAAATTAAAAAAATGAAAATAATTTGAAACATAGCATTATATAAGAAACAAAAATAATCATTTTTATCGCTAAAAAAATCCTTGAGTATAAAGGTCAAATTGATTATATGATTTATTACAGGACAAACAAGCAAAATTTCGAAAAATACTTGAAGAAAACGCAACACGAAGAAAAGTAAAGATTGCTCGAACTCCTTTGGAAAGGTGCGAGCGTGATAATTTAGAAATAGCACAATCACGACATATTGAAGTGCTACGAGAATGTGCCCACAATATACAGCCGCCACCTATGTTAAGAGAATGGGAACAAAAAATATGCGATTTAGTCCCAGCTTCGCTTCGTAATGCTTTTCCTCTTGTCATGGAAGAATTAATGAATGAGAGTAAACAGCAATGGGACAAGGATCTGCATAAACTGGCAGTCAAGACCATCATCAGAGATGAACCAGGTAAATCCAGAATTAGGTATCAAGAATCCAATTTTAAATATAAAGGGGTCACGAAAAATTTTGCTAAATTGGTTAAGTTTCGTAAGAAGCTTCAAGAGGGGTCGCTTTTATTACATCCTTTTATAAGACTAATTCTGGAGTCTTCTGAGAAAATGTATCCAGTGCGTATAATCGATTTGGCTAAGTATAGAGCCCAAGGGTCATTCACTTTAAATGACTTTAAGTCAAAGATCTTTGATGATATAAAACGTGCCGATTATTTAGTCTCTAGCACATGGTACGGCGTCCTAATCCAGTGGTTGAAAAATCCGCGTTGCTTAAGAGGCATGCGCCCTAACAGGATACCAAAATTCGTCATATGTGCTACTAAAATGATATCGATGACAATTCAGGAATTAATGCGTAGGTCTATTTATGATATTATAGAAGCCCTTAAGGATCCTGAGTCTATCCCTATTTTGAATCTTGATTTAGATTTTCAAGACGGAGAATTCATTTACGACCCATCACTTGAAACAGTTTATGAAGCATTTCATAACATTGCCGATGCGATTTCGAATATTTCTCAAAGACTTATGCCGATAGAACAATATCTTAGATTACCTTATAATTATGATGCATTACCAGTTCATTACAACACTTGGTTAAATAAAGATGGTCATGAAAAATTACAAAATCAACTGTATATAGTGTTTGAACCATTACGAAATTATTTAGAAAACTTACGCCAAAAATACAGCATGCTGTATGGAGATATTGCAAAGGAAAATCTTTACAGGTTTATTCAAGAAACTGAAGAATTTGAGATTTCGCTAGAAAAAATACACTACTTCCAAGACATTGATTCACAGATAACTGGTATTTTAGAAAATGAATATTTTAACTGTGCAGTTGTCTGTCAATTAAGAATGGTTGATGGTCTGAAGAGTAAAGCTGCAGAGTTTATAAACGACATAATAGCTGGCATAGTAAAATCACACATGGCTGAAAATGATAGTATCTGTAGCGAGTTCGAAGAAATTACGGAGAAAGCTCTCAAGCAGCCACAAAATGCTGAAGAATTAATAGAACAAGGTGTTTATATGTTGCATGCCAAAACTGTGTTAGTTGAAGGCTTGAAGGCAAGAATTTTAGTACAACTTAATATTATCACTAATCTTCTTCAAATGACTTCACTTACAAAAGAACACCTGGCATCAAATACTAGAACTGTTAATTGGCTTACAGATATAAAACCAATATTTGAAAAGAACGCTTCAGCATACGAAACATTTAAAGGCGAAATGGAAGATCATTTGCAAGCTCAAGTTGCACGTCTGAACAATGAAGTAACGGGAATGCAACCTTACTTAGAAATGTTAGATCACATGGACGACGTTGACCATACGCTCGAATACTTAGAGTATTTAAGAAAGTTCGTTCACCGATTACATGAATGCGATAAACTGGTTATATGGATCAATAAAGAAGAAAAAACCTTTAAATTGGCTGTCTCTTCCTATCCAGAGTTAGACGAATTAAAAGATTATGTTTTACCTTTTCACAGTCTGGTTCACCTGGTCCATACATGGAAGCGGAGTTACTACACATGGATGGATGGACCATTTGAATACTTGGATCATATCCAGATAGAACAAGATCACGATTTTTATTACAAAGAATTTCTAAAACAATTAAAAAACTATAGGCTTAAGATTAAACAACAAATTGCTGAAGGTTTAGATAGGAGATTCCAAGGACTAGTCGATGACGCAGATGTAAATAATCTTCCATCACCAATGAAGTTATGCGCTCAGGCTATTGCTGAATTAAAAGATTGGAGACCTAATGTACAAATGGCTCACATAATGTGTAATCCTGCATTGGTACAAAGGCACTGGGATGAAATGTCGCTCATTGCTGGTTTTGATTTAACTCCAACAGCTGGAACTACTCTCAGAAAAATTATAGATTTTGATCTTTGGGGTGAAATTGACCAATATGAAATTGTGAGTGTAGCTGCTACAAAAGAACTGGCTCTAATAACAGGTCTCAACAAAATGATAGCCGAATGGACTGATATATGTTTCAAAACAAGCCCATATAAGGATACAGGAATACAAATACTTTCCGGATTAGATGATATACAAAGTGTTTTAGATGACCACATAGTTAAAACGATCGGAATGAGAGGATCTGCATTCGTTAAGCCATTTGAATCACAAGTAAGAGCATGGTATGAAAAAATTATAAGAACTAACGCTACAATAGACGAATGGGGTAAAGTGCAAAGTCAGTGGCTGTATCTATTACCTATTTTTTCATCTAAAGACATTGTGGCGCAAATGCCCGAAGAAGGAGTAATGTTTGTAGAAGTTAATAATATATATCGTAGATATATGGGATGTGTAGATAAAGATCCACACGCACTTGAACTCGCTGGAGGTGTTGGAGTATTAGAACAGTTCAAAATAGCATCAGGGTTTCTTGAAAAAATTAATGAAGGCGTAAATAACTATTTGGAAAAGAAGAGACTTTATTTTCCGCGTTTTTTCTTTTTGTCTAATGATGAAATGTTAGAAATTCTATCTGAAACTAAAAATCCTTATAAAGTTCAACCACATTTAAAAAAATGTTTCGAGGGCATTAACAAATTAGTTTTGGATGAAGAGTTTTTTATATCAGCTATGATATCTATGGAAGGAGAACAAGTTGAATTTCTGGAAATGATTAGTGTCCAAGCAGCAAGAGGTTCTGTGGAGAAATGGCTAGTGCAAGTAGAAGAACAAATGTTAAAGGCGGTTAAATCAGAAACTGAATTATCTTATTATGACTACCAAAACTTGACAAGACCTGAATGGATACTATCCTGGGAAGGTATGGTTGTTCTAGCCATATCACAAATATACTGGGCTGTAGATGTTCACGATGCTTTAAATACTCATAAGGTGAGTGAATTAAAAGCATTTAGCAATTCGTTAAACAAACAACTAAATGAAACGGTTGCTATTATTCGGCGCACAGATATAAGTAAATTGAGCAGTATAACAGTGAAAGCTCTTATTGTAATTGATGTGCACGCAAAAGATGTAATTGCCGATTTAGTTGAAAAAGAAGTAAACGAGGTTACGGACTTTCAATGGCTTGCACAACTTCGATACTATTGGGAGGACGACAAAGTGGATGTGAAAATTATAAATGCGGTTGTGCCCTATGCGTATGAATACCTCGGGAATTCTGACCGTTTGGTAATTACACCGTTAACAGATAGATGTTACCGAACACTCGTAGGTGCTTATTATCTTCACTTAAATGGTGCTCCAGAGGGACCCGCAGGAACCGGTAAAACTGAAACAACTAAAGATTTAGCTAAGGCACTTGCCGTTCAGTGTGTTGTATTTAATTGTTCAGATGGACTAGATTATAAAGCCATGGGTAAATTTTTTAAAGGGTTGGCTTCGTGTGGAGCCTGGGTGTGTTTTGACGAATTTAACAGGATTGACGTTGAAGTACTGTCTGTAATAGCACAGCAAATTCTCTGCATCGTTCAAGCCGTGCGTCAGAAATTGGAAACGTTTTTATTTGAGGGCACTACTTTAACTTTAAATCCTGCTTGTTATGTTTGTATAACTATGAATCCCGGTTATGCAGGCCGTTCCGAGTTACCTGATAATTTGAAAGTACTCTTTAGGACAGTCGCTATGATGGTTCCAGATTACGCAATGATTGGAGAAATTTCCCTGTACTCTTTTGGTTTTATCGATGCTCGAAGCTTGTCTGTTAAAATTGTTACAACATATCGATTATGTTCAGAACAACTTTCGTCACAAAATCACTACGACTATGGAATGCGTGCTGTGAAAACAGTTTTATCAGCAGCTGGCAATTTGAAACGAGATTATCCGAATGAAAGTGAGAGTATCCTACTACTTCGATCTATTACTGACGTAAACTTACCAAAGTTTTTATCATTTGACGTACCCCTATTTGAGGGTATTATATCGGACTTGTTTCCTGGAATTAGTTTACCGAAGCCGGACTACGAAAATTTTCTAAATGCTTGCATCGATAGTTGTAAAATAGATAATCTACAGCCTATGGAAAGTTTCTTAATAAAGATTACACAAACTTATGAAATGATGATTGTCAGACATGGGTTCATGCTAGTGGGGGATCCTTTTTCGGGCAAGTCAATGACATTGAAAACTTTATCTCAGGCTCTTACTCTTATGTATGAAAGAAAACAACCAAATGGGTCGGAATGCACATATAAGGTATTAAATCCAAAGGCAGTTACTATGGGTCAATTGTACGGCGCATTTGATCCTATATCTTACGAATGGACTGATGGAATAGTAGCGACCATGTTTCGTGATTTTGCAGCAGAAGATACCCCTGTTAGAAAATGGATTGTGTTTGATGGTCCAGTAGACGCTGTATGGATTGAAAATATGAACACTGTATTAGATGACAACAAAAAACTATGTTTAACATCTGGAGAAGTTATTTCTATGTCCAATGTAATGTCCATGATATTTGAAGTCATGGATTTAACGCAAGCGTCCCCTGCCACAGTCTCTAGATGTGGAATGATATACATGGAATCAGCTACACTCGGTTTTATGCCTTTTTATAAATCTTGGTTGAACACTCTTAATCCTATTTGGTTACAAGACAATGAAGAATACATTTTCAATATGTGTGAGTGGCTATTTGACCCACTAGTATATTTCGTACGAAAACAATGCATACAACTGGTGACAGCCGGAGAAGTAAATTTAGTTATCAGCACGCTTCGACTTGTAGTTATGTTAATGGACGATGCGGTAGAAGGTGAAGAGGATACAAGATATACAAGGACTTGGTTTTTAGCGGCATTTATGACTGCATTAGTTTGGGGTGTAGGTGGAATATTAAATTCCTATTCCCGAGATCAATTTGATGTTTTGTTAAAAGATTACCTGAAAGGTGACTACGGTATACCCGATGCTATCGATCGAATTGACGTATCTATTCCAAGTGAAGGTATGATAATTGATCATTATTACGTATTCAAAGGGAAAGGTTTTTGGAAAGGCTATGTGGAAGCGGTCAAAGCAAGTCAGGTGCTTGAGAAGATTAACCTACTTCAAACTGTTATTCCGACTATGGAAACAGAAAAATATATTGCACTATTAGCTTTGCACACAAAATTCCGTATGCCTCTACTCCTCATTGGACCAACTGGAACGGGAAAAAGCTTTTACATTCAAAACTTCCTTATGAATTCTATTAGTATTGAAAAATATACACCTGGTTTCCTGACGTTTACTACAACGACCTCTTGTAATCAAACACAAGACTTAGTTCTTTCAAAACTGGTAAAGAGAAGAAAGGGTATTTATGGGCCTACTAGGGGTAAACAGGCTATAATATTTATTGATGACATGAACATGCCTGCGAAAGAAGTTTATGGTGCCCAACCAGCGATAGAATTGTTGAGATTATATTTTGATCAAAAACATTGGTATGATTTAAAAACAACTGAAAAATTATATATTTTAGACACATTCTTCTATGGAGCTATAGGCCCAGTTGGTGGCAGCCGACAACTGATATATCCCAGAATGTTGAGACATTACAATATTTACTCCATCAATGAATTTTCAAAAGAGAGTATGACTAAGATATTTACATCCTTATTACAATTAGGCTGGCGAAGAAATGGATTCGGTCAAGATGCTTATGTCTATACAGTTAATATCATAGCCGCTACAATGGATATTTATGATCAAGCAGCTGCTGGCTTGAGACCGACTCCAGCAAAATCACATTATATATTTAATTTAAGAGATTTTTCGAGGGTAATTCAAGGCTGTGCTCTGCTAAGAAAAGAATCTGCAGAAAACAAAAAAACATTCATTAGAGTCTGGGTGCATGAAATTATGCGTGTATTTTATGATCGACTTGTGGATACAGATGATCGAACATGGTTTTATAATATCCTAAAAAAGTCTACTAGAGATTTCATGAAGGATTCATTTGACAATGCACTGGATACTTACCAAAATGAAAATGAAGAAGTTACACAAGAAACTATTAAGAGTATGATGTTCGGTTGTTATTTAGACACAGACAGTGCCGAAGGTGAAAGACGTTACGAAGAAATGCCGTCTAGAGAAGTTGTACTAAATGTCGCTAATGCTATGCTTGCTGAATACAATACGATGCATAAATCAAAAATGAATATAGTATTATTTGATTATGCATTAGAACATTTATCGAAAATTTGCAGACTGCTTTCTATGCCTTCAGGAAATGCCCTTTTAGTCGGAGTAGGAGGATCGGGTCGTCAATCACTTACACGGTTGGCTAGCACTATGTTAGGTCAAAATATTATACAACCTGAAATAACAAAAAATTATAGCAATAAAGATTGGCAAGAGGATTTAAAAAAAGTACTTCGTGAATCTGGTGGTCTCAATAAAGACACGACTTTCTTATTTACTGAGAATCAAATAAAGGAAGAACTATTTATACAAAATTTAGACAGCCTTCTCAATTCTGGCGAAGTCCCTAGTCTTTACGGGTTAGATGAACAGCAAGAAATTATTGAACTAGTGCGTTTGGCAGCGCAAGGTGGTAATCGAAATCTTGATATTAATCCATTGCAAATATTATCATTCTTTGTAGGTCGCTGTAAAGCAAAGTTGCATGTCGTGCTATGCTTTAGCCCCATAGGGAGCTCTTTTCGAACAAGGCTGAGGCTTTACCCGTCTTTAGTGAATTGCTGCACTATTGATTGGTATGACAGTTGGCCTGAAGATGCATTAGAAATGGTAGCACACTACTACATGTACAAGGTTAATGTACCCGACAAAGTCAAGGCGTGTGCTGTTGTTATTTGTAAACAATTTCACGTAGATGCTCGTATAGTCTCACTTGATTTCTTTAATAATTATGGAAGAAAAACATATATTACATCTGCATCTTACTTAGATTTAATTAAGTCATTTACAACATTGACCAATAAAAAACAAAGAGAATTAAGAGCAGCTAAACTTAGATATACCAATGGCTTAGATAAGCTCGGTCAAGCTGCTGAGGCTGTTACTATTATGCAGAGGGACTTAAATGCCTTGAAACCTCAGTTAATGGTTATGGCCGCAAAGTCAGTAAAAATGATGGAGGAGATAGCAACTGAAACTGCTATTGCCGATAAAGCAGCAGCTCAAGTAAGAGAAGATCAAAAAGTCGCAAATGTCCAAGCAGCAGCTGCTCAGGAACTTAAAAGAGATTGTGAAGCAGATTTAGCCCTTGCTTTACCGATTCTAGAAGATGCTATTGCTGCTTTAAATACTTTGAAACCCGCTGACATAACGATAGTAAAATCTATGAAAAACCCCCCATATACAGTAAAACTAGTTATGGCGGCGGTATGTGTAATTAAAGGTATTCCTCCTGATAAAATTCCCGATCCTGATAATCCTGGGAAAAAAATGTTTGATTATTGGGGGCCAAGTAAAAGAATTTTAGGAGACATGAGTTTCTTAGAGTCTTTGAAAAACTTTGACAAAGATAACATACCTATTCCAGTTATGCAAAAAATTAGAAAGGAATACCTTTCTAATAAAGACTTTAAACCCCATATTGTTGCAAAAGCTTCGACTGCAGCTGAAGGTTTGTGTAAGTGGATAATTGCAATGGATATGTATGATGCAGTTGCAAAGGTGGTTGCACCAAAAAAAGCAAAATTAGATGCGGCTGAAAGAGAATTCGCCCAAACAATGGCTATCTTAGAAGAAAAAAAGGCGACTGTGGCTAAATTAGAAGCCAAACTTGCAGAACTTAACGAGGCATTGGAAGAAGCGAACATAAAAAAGAAAGTTCTTGAAGATGAAGTGCAGTTATGTATTGACAAATTAAATCGAGCCGAAAAGTTGATAGGTGGCTTGGGTGGTGAAAAAATACGTTGGACACAAGCAGCTGCAAACTTACAAACACTTTTTGATAATTTAGCTGGTGATATTCTGGTATCATGTGGCATTATGGCTTATTTAGCTCCTTATACGTTACCTATTAGAACGAAAATGATTGACAAATGGCGAGACCAAGTAATCAAACTAGACATGCCACATTCGGAACAATTTGTTTTTAAAGATATTCTTGGCACTGACATAAAAATTCAAAATTGGTGTATTGCTGGATTACCCAGGGACTCTTTTTCTATAGATAATGGAGTCATACAAGATAATTCAATGAGGTGGTCTTTACTTATTGATCCTCAAGGACAAGCTAATAAATGGATCAAAACAATGGAAAAATCAAATGACTTACAAGTGATGAAGTTCACAGATGGCAATTACATGAAAGTTATTGAAACATGTTTGGAATATGGCAAACCAGCTTTGATAGATTGTATTCTTGAAGATGTGGAAGCGCCACTGGATCCAGTCCTTTTGAAGAACACCTATTTGCAAGGTGGTAAAGAATTTATTGCTATAGGGGACAACGTTATAGAATATCATCCTAATTTTAGGCTTTATATGACTACTAAATTACGTAATCCCCATTACTTACCAGAAGTTTTTAATAAAGTAACATTAATTAACTTTGCACTAACCAAAGATGGATTGGAAGACCAACTATTAGGGATAGTTGTAGCAAAAGAAAGGCCCGATTTGCAGGAAAAACGAGAAAAATTAATAGTACAAGGTGCCGCCAATCGAGCTGCACTTAAGCAAGTTGAGGATGACATTTTACGCACTTTACAAGAATCTAAGGGTGATATTTTAGAAGATGAAAGTGCTATAGAAGTCTTAGACTCCTCGAAATTATTAGCTATTGATATTATGAAGAAACAAGAAGCTAGTTTAGAAACGGAAATAGTAATAGAGAAGTTTCGTCTTGGCTATAGACCCATAGCTTCTCATTCTGCTGTATTATATTACTGTGTCACTGAATTACCCAATGTTGACCCTATGTATCAATATTCCTTGGCATGGTTTATCAATCTATATATATTATCAATCGAAAATGCCAACAAATCAAAAGATTTAGATAAGAGATTAAAGTTCCTTAAAGATACATTTACTTACAATTTGTACAGTAATGTTTGTAGATCGCTGTTTGACAAGGATAAACTTATGTTTTCTTTTATAATGTGCTCTAAAATGATGTTATCCGTAGATGAAATGGAACCAGAAGAACATTTGTTTCTAATTACTGGAGGTATAGCTGTCGAAAATCCTCTAAAAAAGCCGGTCGAATGGCTCCCTGACAAAAGTTGGGACGAACTTTGTCGTATTAATGATTTACCAACGTTTGATGGTTTCAAAAATGATTTTGTAAAAAATGTATCGAAGTGGAAGGCAGTTTATGATGACTTGGAGCCACATACAAAACCATTACCGGGAAATTGGAATGATAAGTTAACACGTTTCCAAAAATTGTTAGTAGTTAGGATTTTAAGGCCTGATAAACTAACAATAGCTATATCAGAATTTGTTGAAAACGAGATGGGCAAAAAATACATAACACCTCCACCTTTCGATATAGGAAAGTCGTTTGGAGACTCAAACTGCCTTGCACCTTTAATATTCATCTTATCTCCTGGGTCAGACCCAATGGGCGCGTTAATAAAGTATTGTGAACGAATGGGATACGCTCATAGGTTTAATTCTATATCTTTGGGACAGGGACAGGGTCCAATTGCACGGGCTATGATAGAAATGGCTCAACTTGAAGGTGGCTGGGTGTGCTTACAAAACTGCCATTTGGCTGTTTCTTGGCTCCCAGTTCTAGAGAAACTTGTAGAAGGATTTGATTTAACTAATACTGATTTGAATTTTCGATTATGGTTAACAAGTTATCCATCGGATAGATTTCCACAGTCTGTTTTACAGGTAGGAGTAAAAATGACAAATGAGCCTCCCACAGGACTCCAACACAACTTAAACCGCTCTTATAACTCGGAGCCTCTAAAAGAAACTGAGTTTTATGAAGGATGCCCTGGGAAGGATAGGGAGTTCAGTAAACTCCTTTATGGGATCAGTTTCTTCCACGCTGTAGTGCAAGAAAGAAAAAAATTTGGTCCTTTGGGATGGAATATTCAATATGGTTTTAACGATTCTGATTTTCAAATATCAGTAATGCAACTACAAATGTTTTTGAATCAATATGAGGAAATCCAATATGTAGCCATTAAATATTTGACAGGGGAATGCAATTACGGTGGCAGAGTAACTGATGACTGGGATCGCCGTTTAATAGTTACAATATTAGATAACTATGTCAACCCTGGAGTAATAAACGACCCAAACTTTTCTTTTTGTGATGTTGGGCCTCAATACGGGTTACCTCGAAGATGTGAATATCAGGACTACCTCAAACATATAGAAACTGTGCCCGTTAATCCTCCTCCTGAAGTATTTGGACTACATATGAATGCGGGGATAACTCGTGATTATGCTGCGTCGATGGAACTAACCGCGGCATTGGTGCTTGTTGAGGGAGCAGGTTCTGGAGGTGAGAGTGGAAACACAGAAACTATTCTTGTGCACATGGCTTCAGAGATTCTTTCTAAACTGCCTGATTTATTTGACGTCGAAATTTCTCAGAAAAAATATCCAGTCGACTACAACGAATCTATGAACACCGTTTTAATTCAAGAGATGGAACGTTTCAATAAACTACTACATGAGATCACGGTATCTTTGAAAGACTTGCAGAAAGCTGTAAAAGGGTTGATCGTAATGTCTCCAGCATTAGATTTACAATCTAATGCAATGTTATTAGGCAGAATACCTAATAACTGGGCTAAAGTTTCGTATCCTAGTTTAAAGCCCCTACCTAGTTATGTATCTGACTTTATAGAACGCTTAAATATGTTAAGAGATTGGTATGAGAATGGCAAACCGTCTACTTTTTGGCTTTCGGGATTCTTTTTCACACAAGCTTTTCTTACTGGTTCAGTCCAAAATTATGCTAGAGCGAAACAAATCCCTATAGATTTATTGGTATTTGATTTTGAAGTTCGACATGTGGATTACGAAAACGTGCCATGTCGGTGGGGAGTGTATGTGCAGGGACTATTTATGGATGGTGGACGCTGGGATCGAAAGAGCTTTACTATAGCTGAACAACTTCCAAAGATACTAAACGACATACTGCCGGTTATATGGCTCTATCCTAAGTTAAAATCAGAATTTGCTGAAGGCTCAAGATATAAGTGTCCACTTTATAAAACTTTAGAAAGAAAAGGTGTGTTAGCTACTACTGGTCACTCGTCTAATTTTGTGCTGGCATTTTATTTACCATCGAATAAACCTTCAGCTCATTGGATTAAACGCAGCGTGGCTTTACTACTTCAGTTAGACAATTAAATTATACAATTTGCTCATTGTTAATTTTCGAATTATATGGTCATCCCATATAAACTACCTTACTACATACTTACCTTACTACTAAAAGGTAAACTAATTTGATTTTTTAAATATGAACCATGTTCTACTTGCTTCTTTGATGCTAGTGTAATGATAGTCCAGGATTCGGCCCCAAGATTTCTACGCTTATCAGTAAGTATTAAATCAAAATCAAGTTTTAATATTTATTACCAAAATGGGCACCAAAATGTATTGACTATTTAATATTCAATACATTGCCCGCTAGTAGTGTCTTTAACACCTAGCGACCTCTATTTTGGGTCACTTTTGCTTAGGTAGTTAGTTTATCATGTACAGAAAAAAATTGTTTGAATTTGATATTTAAATGATAAATATATGTCATGAATGGAAAGGAATAAAGTATAATTAATTCTTTAAGCCGGGTTTCCACGGCGAGAGGTAAACTTGGTAGTGAGCGTAAATAAAACACTATAAATCAGTAATGAGTAGGAAACGGTCAGGCGGGCGGGACGGACTCCTATTAAATAAAAAAAGTTTATATTTCCACCAACAAATAGTTTCAACTCGTTTCAATTACTTCACCATGTTCGAACCGCTCTCCTCCCCTTTTTCTTTTCCTACTATTTAATTTGTTATTTCGTTTTGAACGCACTATAATTACTCGTACTCCGTTGCGCTCCCTAGATTTAAACGAGTACATTTTAACTCTTTCTGCTATCTATTTCTTGGTGGGGATAGAATAGAATATTATATATTTCATAAAGCACAGCATTAAAAAATAGAACAAAAGTTAAAAAACAACATATACGAAGAAACTAAAAATCAAGGAATGTTAGCCGGTAATAAAGTAACGGTGCCTAAATCGTCTGCGGTACCTAGGCCGTTCCCGGCCATTCTACCAGCATGTGGAACGTGTTAACGGTCCGGTTTAGCTTGACTTAGTTTATATAGTTTCCCTCGCCTCGCTTCTCCCATCAGCTCACTTGCTTGCTTGCTCGCTCGCATGCTGGCGGTATGGCTGTGCTTCACACTTTGCTGCTAAGAGATTGCGGTCAAGTAAGCAACGGCACGTATCACTTTTCAAGTTGTCTACGTATATTTCTGTTGAGTATAGTTGTATATTATTACCTTTATTGAATGTCAAGGAATATTAATTGAAATTAAAATACCACCGGGCACATTTTAATAGGAAGCTCGGTCAAAACATATTGCTTATTTTAAAATTTGATTTTGATTTAGTGAATTCTTGATGAATGTCATAGTCAGTCTTAGAGCCGGATTACACAAATGTTAAAGTAGCATTTAAATTTTTCTAAATTTTAGTTTTCCACTTAAAAATTGTTGTCTGATAGGTGGAAATATATCATTGAAAATACTTAGCATGTAACGTCGTTTTTGTCTAAGTATTGACAGTAACTACACATCGGGCCAATGTTTTACATCTAAGTAACTGCCATGTCGTTCCCTAATCATAATTATTAAATACATTAAAAACAATGTTACTATTATTTAAAATATATGAGATTATTATTGTCGCCGAAACTTTACTTCTGAATTCCATAGACTTAGAAACAGAACTTAAGAGGTCTTGATATAATTATGTCTAATAGACAGATTACGGTAGGTCTGATATAGTAGGTATTTGATATTTTTTAGTTTTAATTTTGGATTATATTTTAAGCCATGTTCCGTAATCATCCACGTAGTGTTAATCACTTAGTCATAAAAATTGCGATTTTGGAACACATCACAAAAAACATTTATTTCTATTAAATCAATTAGAGAGACAAAACAATAATTGAATTTGAAATCAAAATCAGTAAAAATCCTATAATCAATAAAAAATCTAAAGACGATGTGCATTTTTAAGAATCAAGCAGTAAAAACAGAAATGAACTAACTTCAAAGCGCGTGAGTGTACAAAACAATTTTAAGTAGCGATTTTAAATATATTTTATTAAACATAGGTGACCACCAACTTAATGATAGGCAAGACGCCATATTGTAGGCTTACGATCTACATCTTCCATATGTTTTCCTTTTTCCATAAAATATTTAAACTAATTTTAGTCATAATATTGGTCCAGAAGTACATATTCATTATCAGAAGTTGGTTATCACTTATCGGAATAGATAGCAACACTCCTGTCCAGTCCCATTTTTTTATGTAACTCAAGAGACACGTGCCTTTAGAGCTCCTTCACACTAGCATTTGTCCAGCGTAGGCGTTTGATGACAGTATGCGCAGCGCAGACGCCCGCCGCGATATCGCGACGCACGCGTCGCTTTGTCGCGTCGTTTCTGCTGAGGCACATGAGCACGCTGCATTAACGTTGCACTAACGCGACGCATGTTACTTTCGGTATCTGGGCTCATCGAACACCCAATTAAATGGGGTGGGGGATTTGGGCCTTCTCATATGTGCCGAAACTCAACCAAAAGTTATTGTGTTATAGTAGTTATGTAATGTTAATAATGTTATGTACTTAACTGAAAATACTTGTTGACCAATAAAAATCAACACTAACGATAACTTTGTAATCACAATCTCATTTACTTTAGTCATGTCAATTTTCATCAGGCGTACCTGGTACAGTTTTGTTATATAATATAACTATAATTTTGTATTTTATTTTTGCTAATATATAATACGTTAATTTATTTCTCGCTATGTACTTAATATTGTAACTGTATTAATTTATAAAATAAAAGAAATGATTAAAAATCATGGCAGTTTCACTTAATTTTTTCCCCTTTTTTACAAGTAATTACCATATTTATCTCTATTTCTTCTCGCTCAAAATTTTAAACAGCGTCAATATCAGCTGTTACTTGTCCTCTAATAGAAGTATATGTCAGTCAATAAGGTTTGGAAAGCATTAAAACATTGTCAATATACCTACTGCAAAAGAACCTATAGTCCAGCCGCTCAAAGAAGGCGTTTCTAACACCTGTCAATTCGTCATGACTAGTGATGTACAATAAATAACATTGATAATATTTAGTAACGATATTTATTGCATTCATTATGCATATTTATTCAATTTATAATAATAATAATAAACGAAATTTAGCGCTGGTGGGTGCCCTGGATTCGTTATTGCCTGAATATTTAGATAATAGCGAAGATCTTAGTGATACATATTCTATTCTATACTGTGCGGCTATTGCAGTTTGTCGAGTAGCTGGTGTTAAAATAGCTGACAATGTCACTACTACTCGACCTAAATCTACTGTACCAGCTTAGCAGTATAGAATTGAACGTCGTATTGCTGAGACCAGGACACTCATCGGTAAGCTTATTAGCTACCAATCAGGGAAAACGCGGCCGAGAGTGATGCGCTTTGTGAAACAGGCATTCTTGGGGACTACTATTAGTCCTTAGCAGTACATGTCATGTGTCACAGAGCGCATAGACTTTCTAAAATTTATGCATGGGCAAATAGGATAAGACGGTATAAAAAAATAGATCGGTGATGATGATGAGATGATAGGCATTTGCCAGATGAAAATGTCACAAATACATTTTGGCGTAACATCTGGTCACTCATATAGAAGGTGATTGGTTGCAGGAGGTCAGATGCTCATGTGAGTCCATAACGCCTATGGAACCTGTTAAAATTGATAAAGATGATGTAAATTGTGCAGTTCGTTCATTACCGAATTGGAAATCACCTGGTCCAGACGGACTGCACAACTTTTGGCTTAAGTGGTTCCGAAGCTCACATGCGCGTTTGGCATCTCAATTCCAGGCAGCTTTGGATTCGGGTTCATTACCCCAATTTTTAACCACTGGCATAACCCACTTACTCTATAAGTCTGGTAGTGTCATGGATCCCAAAAATTTTAGACCTATTACATGTTTACCTACCATGTATAAACTTCTAACATCTATTCTGAGACTCAAAATTACTTTACATATTAATAATAATTCGATTATGTCAGTTTCTCAGAAAGGATGTAGAAGTGGGACCCGTGGCACTAAAGACCTCCTTATCATAGACACGACCATTAGCAAACAGGTACGTCGTAATCGTAAGAGTTTGGCGACGTGTTGGATAGATTATAAGAAGGCTTATGACTCGGTTCCACACACATGGCTTTTGAAGGTGATGGAGTTGTATAAAATTGATACAACTCTGTACACTTTCTTGAAGTTATGTATGGGGCAATGGAGAACAGCACTTCGCTATCCAGGATGTCGGCAGACGACGATACACGATGTACTAATAAAGATCGAGCGGGGTATATTTCAAGGTGATAGTCTGAGTCCCTTGTGGTTTTGTCTGGCTTTGAAACCTCTTAGCACTTTATTAGAGGGTTCAGGGTTAGGCTATAGGTTGCAGAAGTATGATGAAGTTATATCTCACCTTCTTTATATGGATGATTTGAAACTGTTAGCCTCCAACAAATTACAGTTGACAAAGTTACTAAAGGTGACGGAAAACTTTAGTAATTCTATCAAAATGGAATTTGTTGTAGACAAGTGTACAGTCATGTATGTAAAGAAGGGTGTGATAGTTGAATCGGAAGGAATAGAGCTTTCAGATTCAACAAAACTCAGATCTCTGTCTGCCACTGAAACTTACAAGTATCTGGGTATATCACAGTCGTTGGGAATACCAGAATCTAACATGAAACAAACATTGCAGGAACGCTTTTTGGGCCGCTTGAAAAAAGTACTTAAAAGTCTTTTATCCTATGTCGATGTATTCCTTTGGTATACTTAGATGGACTCAGACCGAATTAGATGCCCTTGACAGGAAAGTCCTTACACTGCTGACTGCATCCCGAATGCACCACCCACGTTCATCAGTTATGAGATTGTATATCCCGCTAAAGCTTGGGGGTCGCGGACTATTAAATATCAAGACCCTACATAATCGCGAGATATGCAATCTCAGAGAATATTTTCTACATACCGATGTGGGAGTGCATCGCAATGTACTTGCAGTGAATATCGGATTCACCGCGCTCGC